GACCCTAATTCCAGACACCCTTGTAACCCTAACCCTAACCCTAACCCTAACCCTAACCCTAACCCTAACCCTAAAATATCATGAGTAGGCTGCTACGTCCGCTCGTTCATGCCGTTCCAATCGGGGTAAGCTTGACACGAGCTCGACGACCCGTGGTTGCGCAATCAGGGCTCGAGCGAGCGGAGTATACAGCACTCGGTGCGCGATACGCAGGTCCAAAGAGCTGTCAGCGCGAGCTCCATATACGTGGGACAGGGGGGCGCGAAGCTCAAAGTAAGAAGACCGTGCCGCTGAGCTCGACAGTGCAGCCCGCCCAAGCGTAGCAGCATCGAGAGTGCGTAATGCGCGTGCGTCCGCGCCCGGACATGATTTGTGCAGAAACAGAAAGCGAACGTGAGAGTCTGCGCGCCTACGCCTGCTTCGTCACGCCATCGCGGTCCAAAAGGGAGCCGAAAAGGCACAAGAAATTCATTCACAACCAAGGCTCCATCGATGAGGGGGCATACAGTCTTCTTGCACTTGCGCAGTCAGTTTGCGTAAAAGGGAAAAAAAATAGGATCTCGCTCTTCAGCTGCCACGGTCTCAGACGACGGCAGGTCATCCAACATGCTTGTAGCACTGGCTATCACGAGCGAAGCCATGTTCCAACCCGTAGACTCGCGTCGTGTCCGGGCTCATTCACAAATATGATCGAACCTGTCCCAAGTGGCCCCTCCTATGATGATTGTGCTTTGTACAGTCGCGGCAGACTCGGGATCTTCCTGCCTTTTTTTTGGAAGTCGTGCGAACCCAAGAGCCAAAAGAATGTGCGCAGACGCCTTGAGACTCGAATGCAGGAGAGGGGCTCCTTCTCCAAATCGGTACCTGCGGAGTCAGAGGACGTGTTGCCTCCTCGAATCCGAGCGCTGATCTACGGCCAGGCCGTTTTTCTCGCTTCGAGTCAGTGGGCCGCGCAGCCAGGCGCTGTGACCAATTCCGTGCTCCCCAAGGTTCTCGTGACGAGACCAATTGGTGGCTATCCAGCCATTGCCTCGCGCCGGGCCTAGCGCCTAGCGATACGCTACGAGACCATTGGCATTTTTGTGCGACGCCGTTTGGGTCTACCCCTCGATTGCCGGGGCTTGGCGTAGTCGCAATTACCTTTGCCCAGTCTGCTCCGAAGGGCGGCGCACGGAAGAATGCAGACGTGTATTTTGTACCAAGAGCCGTGCAGGCCTCTGTGGACGCCCGGGTCGGGCAGACAGGAGTCCTTTGAGCCACAAATGAGGAGATGCGCCGCAAGCACGCTCGGGTAGGCGTGGACAGTCGTCAGTGTCCGGGCGCAGCCTCCCGAGCGCACCATGGTGCACGCCAGCTGGGTGTCCTTGCAGCACGCTGGATCTCCTTCCTACGCTTGCACCTACAGAGACGGATATAAGAGGTGCTCCAGCTCTTTGGAGTGTCATCCGATCCCCAAGACTCACCGTCCTGAAAAGCTGCCGCAAACCGTCAAAGCCCCGTATTCAAAAAGCCGCCTGCACTACACATCTCATCAGCACACAGCACACTCACGCCCATGATGAAGCTTATTCTCCTCTCAGCCCTCTTGGTGTCCGTGTTCGTCGCCCAGGCAGCAGGTCAAGAGAGAAGCAAGATCAAAAAGTATTGTTCGTAAGCTTCTTGCCAGCGTAGCCATCTTTGTCTTTTCTGACTTTCAAAGAGTTGTTTCCGGCTCTGCCCTGCCCATGACAGCGGTCATCCACAGGCCCGCAGGCTGGACCGACGGGCAAGTGAGCAACGCTTGGGTTACCGAGTGCAAGGCGATTGGAGGCTCGACCAGCGGTCTCCAGTGGGGCGATGTCGCTTGTTTCGTTGGGTAAGTGCCTGCGCTTTCAGCCCTGCAAGTTGACTCGTAGATGAAGGACCTGACGTGACTGTACTCGCTTTGGACGCAGACCGGGCGGCGCAGACCTAGGAGGTCAAGTAATTTCCGCCCTGGAGGAGCAGAACCCCGGCGAGTGGGAGTTTGGCAACGCTTAGTGACGGACCTTGTCTGCTGCCGCTCGTTCGGAGAGTTGCCAGACTCATCGAAGGGCCCCGCAGCAAAGCTGTGCTACCGCTATCTCCGTCACTCAATCCGAATTTGGCTCGCGAATGCCATGCTCTCTTTCCTGACCTGCGCGCTAGCGGGAGCCTGATTGCCCTACTGTGTGCGGACGGGAGTATTCTTTTTGCGAGCGGCGTTGCCATGAGACCTGGGCAGACGCCGGCAGGGGGCGTTGGTCTTCCGGGTGCGGCCGCTGAGGCTCGCTACTCGACACTATCTTGCTAGTCTCACAAGAAGCTCGAAAGTTACGCTGCGCTACAGCCATATGCACCCCACTTTGCCAACGCTCGCTATCCCCACCCCCTCGAGACTCAACAATCTATCGAGACGCGCAAAGTCATCCTCGGATCCCTCGAGCGCTGCTCACACTGGCAGCACGCGGACCGCTGGCGCCGACGATGAAGTCTTTGACCCTTCCAATTCTCCTCTTGTTCTGCTTCACGGATGCAATTTTGGCTCAAGAGGGGCCCATAGGGAGTGCAAGGTCCCGCATCCCTCACTACAGTACGTAAGGCTCTTCCCAATGCCATTTCATGCCGTGCTGCTGACAATTTCCTCTGCTCTCGACGCTCGTCCCAGATCTCATCAAGCGTCCGAAAGGCTGGACCGACGACCAAGTCAGCACAGCCTGGACGAATGCATGCCATGCGATCCAGTCGGAGGCTCAACCAGCGGCTATCAGGCCCTTGCGAACCGAGTCGCGTGCTTCGACGGGTGAGTATCAGCAGCAGCGGGCCATGGTCTCTGGTGCGCGCGCGTTTCTGATGTGGATCGTACGTAGCGTTGATCTTTTCGAACGCAGGCCGACAAGTGCAGACAAAGCTGGCTCCGTGCTTGCGGCGCTGCTCAAGCAAAATCCAGGCGAATGGGTCATAAAGAAGATTTAGGCGGGCGGCCCGGCACCTTCATGCAGTCGCTACTTGACGCCGAGTGGCGAACATCATCAAGAATTTTCCGCAGCAGCCTTGTGCTTGTCCGATTCCTGTCTTAGCTAGGCTTGTCAGTGCAAACCACGACTGCTCACGTCTATCTGGGCGTCTGAGATGTTTGGATCCATCTTGACCGCGATTGGGGTTTTGCAGGCAGGCGTCTCATCCGTTTCCGCGAGCAGCTATTTCGGACACCGGCTCACAATTGTCCATGCTGTCAAAGGCGTTCATTCGCAGTCAACTGGGTGGTCAGCTCCTCGCTTCACCTTTTGTCCGATGTTCGACTCGGAACGGTGCTTCAAGAAGCATGTGCATGTGTATGTCTGGGTGAGGGGTGTCTCGTGCGATGCTCGGTTGACTGCGATACTTGTGTTGCCTTCTTCGTCTGCAACCGTTCGCAGAAGGTTTCCGCGTGATGCCGCTCCCACTCATCTCTTCTAGCTCGGAAACGCTTCAACGGTATGATGGGAGATGGGTTCGAACGCGAATGTATTCACCTGGCAAGGTCCTCGAGCCATCGAGTAGTCTTCCTCCGCCTAGTTGTAACCCTTCACTTGAGGCTCCAAGTCGAGCCAAACGCAATGGTACGCATTGATGGTGACGTTGACATGCGCGGCCGCCTGTGTGAAGGAAGGCCAATGCTTGCCGCATCGAGTGCAGATCCAGTCCATCTTGGCGTGCGCCGAAGCTTGATGCTGCTTGAGCGACAACAGCCTCTTGGTCCTGAACCGACCCGCAGAGTTATCGGCATTGCGGGTGGGATAGGAATGCGGGACAGCGCTGCTGCAAGCCCAGCATTCCCAGTCCTCCGCTTCCGAGTCCAATGCCAGAAGCGCGGACATGCGCTCCTCCACCTTCTCTAAGCGCTTTGCGTGCTTCTGCTCCGTCGTCTCGCGAATCTGGCGCTCCTGCGTACGTTTACCCAGAGCGATGCAGTCCTTGATTGCCTTGACCGCCTCGTCACCCAGAGTGGGCATAGAGTTGAGACGCTGCTTGACGCGTCTCGACGTGTCTTCTGCCGACTGCCTGCGCGCGGATCTCCCACATGTCAACGGGAGGTCTGAATCACTCTCCGAAGAGACAGCGTACATTTGCGTCTCTGCAAAGTGGAACGGCTGGGTGTAGGTACCCGCGCCTGAGCACGCGGAATGGATGGTGCGCGTCAGTCAAGTAAAGGGTCAGCGTGAGCGAGCAGGCGCATTCAGCAACTCACCGAACCTCCTAGGACGAATAGAGCTCATGATGGGAGTGCAACGCTCGTCATGCGTCGACAAAACTGTCTGCCACAAGCTTCCTTCAAGGCCCCGCTGTGAGACGGAGGACACGGGTAGGCATGCAAGTTCAGCATGTATGCGCTCAGAACGGAGCCAAGACTGGTATGAGTCACTGCAAGCTGCTGACCGATGATGGCATGTTGGCAAGCTCAGAGCATATTCGCCGACATGGAGACGTGGCGCAGCGCGATGCTCCAGCTCTCCAAAGGGCTGATGTGCGCGTTAGAGATGGGCGATCCGCGAAAGCTTTCCAGGCGTGAGCTGCCGTCTCCCTGCAGCCCAAGACAAGATGATTTTGAAAGCTCAAATGATCGATTGCATTTGAGATTCCGAGAGGTTCTCCTCTGTTCCAAAGAATCAAAACGAGGTGATCGGTAATGGTGGTGATGAGGAAGGTTCCCTCAGCGCCCAGGTGGACCAACGCACCCACAAAGTCACAAGTCTGGGACTTTCCCTGTGCTCCAAGGCGCAACGCCTGTCCGCAGGCCCGCGCATTTATCCTGCTGTGGTGCCTTTTGCAGCAGCTATGCGCGCATGCATGCAGCGTAGCATGGGCCCAAACAGCGTATCACGTGTCACGCACGGACTCGAGACGCTTGACCGTGATGCGTCTGATGTCTATCCGACCGCGGCGCTTCTCATCCCGTCAATCAGCAGTCGTGAGTTGAATCTCTTCAACATGCACGCTCTCTACTACCTCCTTCACTCTGACTCGCACTGGAGAGAAGACCTCACGCGACACGGCCTTTGCGCGCAAGTCGTGAGCGTATCGCGCAGTCCACCACCCATCGCGCTTCCTCTGCCAAGCCGAGTGAGCTTTGGTTTGGCTTGCTCATCCTTCGACTCAGCTCAGCTCGTCCTGCAGCACCCCACACACAATCGCAGCAGCTTGCTCTCACCATGTCTCAAGCAGCAGCTGAGCAGGTTGCGAGCGGAAGCGGAAGTGGAGGAGCGGTGCCAGCATGGCGCCATTTCAGCTTCTACGATGCCACCAGGCTCTCTGATGCGGAGGATCTGGCCCTGCCTCCTCGATCGCTGCGCAACGCCACGCGCATCGTCGCTCTCACCTCGTCCATCGTCTGTCCACCGCTCCCTGCCTCGCAAGATGCTCGGACAGAGGAGCCGCACGAGGTGCACAGCGACAGCAACGCAGCCGCGCCAGCTCCCTCGTCGCATCCAGATGGCTGCATCATCTCTGCGCAAGTGGATGGTAGGGCTGAGGTGCTCCATCCGCGCACCTACGCTACCCTCGCCAGCTGGAACATGTTCCCGGGCGGCCGAGCAACGCACTTGTCTGTGGATGGCAAGGGGAGACTGGTATCGATCGGAGAAGAGGCTGCTGCGCGCTTTCCCGTACTGAGGATCTGGGATCTGAGACGAGTGCAGCAGCAGCAGCATCATCATCAGGGCGCAGCGACGTGGGCTCCGCTGCTGCTCGCTTCTGCCAGAGTGCAGCATGGAAGCAAGCCTTTGCCTGTGAGTGTCCAGCGGCTGTGCTATTCCTGTGGGCATATTGGCGGGGGACGCGAGAGTCGGCGATCGGAAGCAAGGCGCGGCGCGGCGCGGCGCGGCGCTGCGCTGCGCAGAGCAATTTGTCTGATTTTGTTGCCTTCTGCTGCCCGTCTCTCTCTCTCTCTCTCTCGTCTTGCTCATCGCATCGCAGGTGGCAGCCTTGGCGCACACGCCTAGCCTCACTTACCTCTCTGTAGCGCTAGCCGATGGCTCGGTCTTGCTGCTCCGCTCCGTCGATGCGTCTCTCAGCGGGCCTATCACCAGCACCGCGAACGTTGCAAACAGCGGTGCATTGCGCGGAGACAGCTTAGCGGCGCCGGCATTCCAGCTGCCCAAGTTCAAAGTCGTCTTTCAGCCTTCGAGCGCAAAGTCGGCCAATGCAGCATCCGCAGCAGAGATTGTCACTTCGCTAGGCTTTTGCGAAGTGGTGTCTGCCAGCAGACAAGATGAGGGCAAGGCGGCTGCAGCTGCAGCTGCTGCTGCTACGCACATCGCCTCTCGTCAGCGCCTCAACGCTCGCGGCGAGCTGCCCAGATCGGCGATGCGCAAACAGCAAGGGCAGCATCTGCAAGAGCCGTTGCAGAGCGCCAGCGCGGTGCACCTGCTCATCGTGACGCTCGAGCGCGTGCTGCGGTACAATGTCCTTGGACCATCCGCCGGCAACCCTCCTGCCGTGGTGGACGACGTTGGTTGTGCCCTCTCTTGCGGAGTCATGGTGGAAGGGCCTCTGCTCGCACCATCCTCTGCCTCGACGGTCGATCAGCAATCTGCATTGCAGGGCAAGATGGTCATCGCGAGGCAGGAAGCCATCTACATTGTCGGTGCTGAAGGAAGAGAAGTTTGCTTGGCTTATGATGGTGAGCGCAGTATGACACCAGACTGCGATGGTACAAGCGAGCGTATAGAGCTGAAGCGAGCGTCGACTGCACCCCCCGTCAGAGCCCAAACGGTCCGTGCACCTCCTCAAGACTCACCTCGTCATCATCTCGCCGCCCGTCCCCGCCTCTGCACTCTCCGCGCAGGCTCGCAAGCCTGCGTCTTTAGCCGATCCGGCCGCTGCTAATCTTGGGCGACGCGGAAGTAGTGCACCGAAAGAGGTGGTCAATGTCACCATCTTCGATTTGGTGAACAAGCTGATCGTTTTCAAAAAGGCTTTTGATGGGGGTGTCAGGATGGCGTGGACAGATTCTATGGGCGATATCGCGGTGCTCAGCGACGATGGCACGGTGAGTGTATGCAGGTGCGTGCGGCGAGCGGCACCCAAGAATCGGTGCTGACGAGCATCGCGTGCCTTTCCCTCTTTTGTTTGTCTTTTCAGCTCACGAGACTGGAAGAAAAGGGTTTGCAGGCAAAGTTGGAGATGCTGTTCCGCAAAAGCTTGTACCTGCTTGCCATCAGCGTGGCCAAGTCGCACCGCGCCAAGAGACCCGTGCTGGGCAATGACTCGCATTCAGCCGCTGTGCGCACCTCGGAAGGCCAGCCGGACGATCAACTGCTGGGAGAAATCTATCGCCGGTATGGCGATCATCTGTACGCCAAGGGGGACTACGATGGTGCGATGGCGCAATTCGTAAAGACCATCGGTTTGGGCACGCAACCGAGCTACATCATCCGACAGGTGAGTATGGCCCAATGTCCGATCACAAAGAGGCACTCGCTCATCGCCTTTCCATTCGCAGTTTCTGGACGCTCAGCGGATCGCTCATCTCACAACCTACCTACAAGAGCTGCACGCGCGAGGTCAGGCCAACTCGGATCACACGACGCTGTTGTTGAACTGCTACACCAAGCTCAAAGACGTTGCATCTCTCGACCGCTTCATCAAGCGACCCGTGACGCGCAAGCAACCTGGACAGGATGACACGGGCGACGATGTCTTCCACGAATCGGACGTGGATCAGGATCGCGACGAGCTGCCCTTCGACTTGGCTACGGCGATGCAGGTCTGTCGACAGGCCGGTTATCACGGCCACGCAGCATACTTGGCAAAGCGGTATCATCGGCACGAAGATTACCTGCAGATCCAACTGGATGACGTGCAGGACTACGACGAGGCTCTGACCTACTTGCGCACGCTATCCCCGCAGGATCTGGAGATGCACCTTCAGCGCGTCGGAAAGACGCTATTGGCGAACCGTACTACTGCGACGACCGATCTGCTGATAGAGTTGTGTTCCGGCGCTTTCTCACCCTCTCCTATCGCCATTGGCTCGGGCGTCGATGCGGCTCCTCAGGCACCATCCACGGCAGCTGCGTACCTTTCCTATTTGCAGATTGGCAATTATGCCAAACAGAGCACAGCAGACAACGTGAATGGAGCAGCAAAAGCGGCACCATCCTCCGACGCTCCGCCATACTCGATCGAAGGCGATGCGGGAGAGCAGCAATCCACCACGATGCCGACATACCACACCCCATCTCCTCGCGTCTTTTTCGCTCAATTCATCCGGCACTCTGCGCAATTCATCCGCTTCTTGGAGACTGTCGCGCTGGCCAGATGGGGGCAGAGTATCAATGAGGATGAGGTGCTGGAGCCTCGAGACGCCCCCCTTAAGCCTGGCGTGCTGGCCATGATGGATGCGCCGGGACAAGACCTGACAAAGAGTCTGCGGCAGCTAGGCATGGAACCTGGCGATGACAAGTACGAAGAGGAAGAGAGCGGCGATCAGCGAGCCATTTGGAACACTCTGTTGGAGCTGTACCTCGCCTCTGCGCGCGAGAGAAGTGGACGAGACGGCAGCGGGCAGAATGGTACGGCTGTCATGGAAGGATCGCCCGATGAGCGGCTCGATGCGACGCAGCGCAGAGCGAGATCGGACAGAGCGCTGAGGTTATTGGAGCAGCACGAAGCGTTGCCGTACGATATCACCCACGCTCTGGTAGTCTGCACGACGGAAAATTTCGAGCGTGGATTGGTGCTGCTTTGGGAGAGGCTGGGCATGTACGAAGATGTGATGAAGCTTTGGATGGATGTGGGCAGTGCTGAAGCGCACGCCGCTGGCGGAGCGAAAGCTGGAGCAGCGAAGGAAGCGAGTCATCGAGTCATGGCCTGCCTGCGACGGTATGGCGCTCTGCAACCGCACTTGTACCCCATCGTGCTGCAGTACCTGGTGTCGGATCAGAGCATCCTTGCGAATCATCAAAAGGACTTGTTGCAGGTCATTGCGCACATTGAAGAGGAGAACATCATGGGACCGTTGGAGGTTGTGCAGGCCCTCGGACGGACAAGGGTCGCTACCGTTGGACTGCTTCGCGATTATCTCAGTCGAACGGTTGAGCAGGAACGTCAGGAGATCGAGGCTGTGAGTGCAGAGGTGCAGCTACCGATCTTGGCATCGCTTACGATTTTTCCTTTTTTCTCTGCGCCCATCGTAGGACCAGAACCTGATCACGACGTACCGAGGCGAGACGTCGAAGAAGCTGCAAGAAATGTCGGAGCTGACGGATGCGAACCATCCGCGAGTGTTCCAGATGACGAAATGCACGGCTTGTGGAGGTCAGCTCGAAGTGCCCTCTGTGCACTTTATGTGCAGACACTCTTTCCATCATAGGTGTTTGGGCGATGGAGAGAATGAGTGTCCAGCTTGTGCTAGGGCGCACGCGACGGTGCGAGAGATCAGAGCGAACAATGAAGAGATTGGATCTAGGCACGATCTGTGAGTGCGACTTCGATACGCGAGGTGCTGGAGCGTGAGAATGAAGACGAGCTCATCAATGTCCGATCTGCTCGCTACCAAATAGCTTCTTGCAGCAAGTTCACAATGCGGACGATGGCTTCGATGCCATCGCCAACATGTTCTCCAAGGGATTGTTTGGCGCAAATAGGCTGATATGAGTCTTGTGCAGTGATTGTACACCCTAGATACCCTACCATCATCTGCTGGCATTGCACTCGCACTCACAACTCGACAAAGGTGGATTGGCATTGCTTCGACGACATCACGACCCTTCAGAACGATGCCCTGTCAGCGACGCTGCGATACAATTTCAATAGCATGGAGAAGTCATTGCGGAGGCCAGATGATGCGCTCGGTAGAAGCACTGCATGGGTCTATGGGCGCATCGGCACGATGGTGAATTGTTCGATGGGCGCTTCCAGACGCTTGTTGAGCTCGATGACGCAGGCCTGCGTGTGGTCCACCTGCTTCTCGGGCCAACCCCTGCGCGAAATGCACGTCAGAGGCGTGGGAGAGAAGAGAAGGATGAGGAGAGGTGTTGTCATTGACACAATGCATTTGGCTTTGAAACTCACTCCCAGGCGTAGCAGTAAAGCGCCAAGACGCCTTTGTAGTAGTCCAGTTGGCTGAACCCGTTCGCTCCGTACAGCTGCGTGCAAGTAGCATGCAAGAGACCCTAGCATCATCTGGGGTGATACCTTTCAGCAGCTTGTCGACTTCAAGGCACGGGCGCGCAGCACGAGCTCATCGCAACATTTTTCGCCAGATTACCGAGGACACGCGATTCGCCGAGATTGCCGAGGAGCGAACCCTACAAATTTCGCGCTTGACATCTTGTCCAAGCCAAGTGGTTGCAAATTTAGAGACAGGTCATCAGTTTATTCATTGAACAGGGTAGACGTCGGGCGCGCGCGCGCGCGTTTCGCAGAAGCGCGTGGGGCTGTACACCTGCAGGGATCGCCCGTAGCCGAAAGGATACGGAGAGAGCAAGCCAGCAAGGCGCTCGCTCCCCACGCTTCACCGATCGAGCGGTAAGGCGCTTGCGCGAATTGCGTGCTCTTCGCAATTCGCAAAAAGTATGGAGCAATGATGATGGTATTGCGGAGAGATGGATGGATCGCATCTGTGGTGTTTACATGTGCGTGCATCCAGCGCGTGCGTGCGCGCACGTGACAAAAAGCCCCGCCGGCGGGCGGCCCCCCCCCCCCCCCCCCCCCCCCCCCCCCCCCCCCCTTTCACGCCCCGCTCGATCCGGTACGCAAAAGTCTCAATGAGACGGAAGGGGGGAGGAAGAACCGCTTTGCTTGCTTGCTTGCTTGCTTGCTTGATTGCACGAGTAGAGCAACCCCCTCTCGTATGCCACACGGATGCTTCTTCACACCACACCACATCGCACTGCGATCGAATGGCACTTCGGAAAGTGCAAACGGGGGACATGTCAGCTTTCTGTTCGTGGAGGAGCAGCAGCAAGAAGGAAAGGGCTGCTGCCTTTTTGCTTCGCTTCGCTCCCCTTTTGCATGTTCCTTGCGGTTCGTCCTTCATCAGCTAGGCACGATACATGACGCCCCGACGTGAGAAGGTTGTGTTCTCGACGGCGCTACGACTTGATCTACAGGATGGGATTGGATGAGCCCAGAAATTGGAATGAACGTGGACTTTTGTGGATGAAGTCGGGGTGTGTGAGGGGGTTGGAGGGAAATGGGTAGACGCACGGTGGAGTCTCGAGTTGTAGATCTTCCCGTTCGACTGCTTGAGCAGACATTCTCTCGAGTCTGGTCTAGCGGTGCAGTGCCTGACTATGGGGCACAGGATTGAAGCGTCGTCCTCTCAGCGAACACGGGTCGGATTGGAGCGTCGTTCTCTCAACGCCTGAGGGCAGGAGAGACGTGCGATTGGCGAAGCGTGAGTTTTGGTGAGCGTCTCGCATTCGCTACTGCTATGCCTGCCGATGATCTATCTCCATGAGGGCAATCTTGCTCACTTGCGATAGCCGGTCGTCTGCGCTTCGGCTGGAGACAAGTCGAGCCAGATGCACATGGTGGTGTTCGTCTTTGGGCTGAGGTGTCTCAAAGCCTGATTGTACAGTGCGAACGTCTCGCCACATTTTCGGCACTCCCACCGTTGTCCGGCCGAGCAATGTGCGCCAGCCTGATGCTCCTTGTATGCTATCCAGCCCTTGATCTTCAATTCGCCCTTCTTGTGATCGTAGCACTCAAGGCACTCGTACTCGACATCAGAATTGTCGTTTGCAAACATCTTTTCCAGGTGCAGATTCGTCAAGTGTGTCCGCGCTGCTAGCGCGTCTTCACGCAGTAGCTTGTTGTTTTCGTCTATGCTCTTGAGCGTCTCTTGACTCAGACTGGTCTGGGTTGCATTGTTCGACATATTAGCTTGGGACAGGCAAGACGAGCAGCGAGGGCAGACATGCAAGTCAATCAAAAAAGCGCGAATCCCTCAGGCTCGGCCAAGGACCCTCACCATGTGTTGGACGCGGGGACGATCAGGTATGGGTGCGACTTGCTTGATACCTGGCTGCATAGGCTGAGGAAGAAAGAGTGGACGAGTGAGGCTGTCGAGTCTCGAGCTGCGCCATTGCTCATCTTTATAAGCGCGCACCCGCAACAAGACGAATACTTGATTGAAGCCCTTCCGCTCGACTGCGATATCTGTGCTTCATACCTGATGATGGCGATCAAGCAGCTATAGGAGTCAGCTTATTGAATTGGACGAGGCTTTCTGCATGAGCTCATCTTGAGTACAGCTCTGAGCTCGGCCAGTCGAGTGGCTAAAGGTGCCTGCGCCCATGCACAAGGATCGCGCATCCTATCTTCTGCTGTGCGTATAGCTGCTGCGCATCAGGTCATGACGAATGACTCGTGACTCTTGACTGCATGATGCATAAATAGCACTCACGGCTCACCCTCAAGATGAGTCGATCGTGATTCAAGATGACTCGTCGAGCTCAATCACGCTCGAAACCGAGTGTCTGTGAGACATATTGGTGTCATCACATGCAGAATCTGGAACACATGTCGAGCATCCAATTGAGGCAGACGCCTATATAATAAGCTATATCCACACTGAGATTGCGCCCTCACACATCTTGTCGATCGCGCTCGACAGACCCTAAGCACCTGAGACAAGGGAGCCATATATAGTCATCTTGCTCAGAGTCATTCGTGAGTGATGTTCGAGCAGACAGCAAGAGGACGCTAGCTCGTGACTCGCATGTGATGTCTCACATGTCCACAGCAAAGCTTCTTCGTCAAAAGATATATGACGCCGTCCGAGGAGGTCGACCAAGCAGCAAGAGGGCGAGACTTCAGTTTTGAGCATTCATGACTGTACTCACACTGTGATTCTGATTGAGTCTCGAGAGTCACGAGTGTTCACTCAAAGCACACACAATCAAAAGAAACAAAAGCTAACAAAACATTATTTTGTTTATAGTCCCGTGAAACTTTTGATTGCGGGAGCATTTCGGGACATGTTCGGAATTTGCTCATGGGATTGGACGAGCTAGGCACCTAGCCCGCACTCTGATTGGGAAGTTAGGTAGTGGACGTGCGACCCATCTTGAGGAAGGCGGTCCACACGCGGGGGTGGCCTTACAGGTCTAGCCAGTATGACATGTGCTTGTTTTCTGCTTTTTGTATTGAAATTGTATTCTTGATTCTTGAAGTTGTCTTCTCGTCATCCGGCCCGAATCACGCGCGCTCCTTAGCGAAACCCCAGAGGGGGATTCGAACCGTGTTGGACAAGACCAAGCCTGAACAGCGGTCCGTCATACTCTCTTCAGCAAATCGTGAATCGTGGTTGGATGCTCAACCCACTGGGCCACGTCGGCGCTTACCAGTAAAAAGTTGGACACACGTACAGAAGGCGCGACGCGCGCGCCGCGCATGCACGCCTGCATATATGCCTGCATATGCCCGCGGCGTCCATGCATGCAACCGCAACCGCAGTCGCATTAAGTCCCTGCCTGCGCCTGCACCTGCGCCTGCTCGCTCGATTCGTCTTTCTTGACTCAGATGAGCCACACTTTTGACTACGCATGAGCACCCTTCTTCCCGTGAACACATACTCCTCACAGGCTCATGAGAGATGGTGGCGAATGCATTAATTCAAGATTGACATTTCATTCGGAGACGACTCGCCCGCAATTTTGCATATGCCGCGCGCTCCACATTTTCCAACCCTCACACCGCCATTCAAATTCAAATCGTCGGTGATTGAGCCGAGCACCGTTTATTTGCGCAAAGCTTTTCGTTCTGGCTCGAAGGCGCGGCGCATCCGGGCTTTGGAAGACATCGTCCTTGCACGTTTCATCCTTTGCTTTACGTGGAATGGCCAGTGTGTAGCCCAGCCACCCAGCGGAACCCTTGTCGTGCAGCTCAAACGCATTCAGCATGTTGGTGCAGTGAGCTGTGCGGTCGTACCAGATCCCATCCTTGCTGCAAAAGTCAAGCGGGACAATCAAACTGTGAGGTCTTGCGCTCGCCATGTTGCATGCGGGTTGTTTGAAGCAGCTCGTCGGAGGAACGCAGAAGACTCACCCGTACGAGTGACAGTAAAAGGCGATGACCACTTGAAGTTCTCCATTCTCCTTTTTCTTCTCAAACGTTCCGAAATCCGTATTCACGATTCTGCTCTCGTCGTCGTAGATTTCGTGACATTTCTTGTTCCAAAGCGCTGCTGCCGCATCATCTCCACCCACCTCCTTCGTCGAGCTTTGGTAAAGCTCTGGCTAGACGAGAATGAATGCAGTGTGAGTGATTGGCTGGCTGGCTGGCTGAGCGATCGGCACACGGCCGCGCAATGAGCGCTACTCACCCCAAAAGCCAAATGCCGGTATCTTGACGGGCTGCAGGCCTTGGCTCCCGCCCATCAGAAGGCCGCATACGACGAGCAAGCTGACGTTGAGATTGAAGAAGAGCATAATGGGCAGATATCAGGGAAGATGCGTTTTCTTGAGGGGTACGAGATGGTAAGACGGTAGGCGAGCAAGAGGGGATGTGAACGAGACAGAACGCGAAGCCTTATACGCAAAGAGAGGACCACAAAGTGATCAGGCTAGCATACGCAGGACGCAGCTGGCAATGCTCGGAACATCAGAGAATCACGTCAGCCGCTGCTCGCCAGCAGATGACCCCAACGCCACCCGCGATCAATGAGCTGCGCCTCCGGCCTCGAGATCGTCCGATGGCCGCGGACCTCACGGGGCTCAAACAAGAAGCATTCTAATTCGCTTCATCGGAGCATGTAATTAGGTGAAGGAGCACCGCAATCGTCTCGTGCTCGTGTCTGCTGCATCAGACGTCAGCTGTTCAGACACTGTGCGCTCGGTCGATTGCAGTGAGCAGCCAGAAAGTCCGGCCGCGGGAAAGAAAAGACGAGCACCAAGACATATCACTCATCTATACTTCAAGACATTATCCATCCATACTTGTCATTCAAGAAAGCTCACAGCACGAAAGCGCACAAGAGCTAAAGGTGCGAGTATATGTGCTATGAAGCCTGCTCAGCTTCGCCTCACAAGATCGACGACGACAAGTGACTTGAGATGTACACGGTCCCTGCAACACTGCAGGCGAATTGACAGGGATGTGACCCGCTTTGGCCCGTATTACATACGTCTTTGCCGTCCAGGCTTGCCCGACCACAAAGAATCGCAACCCTGACATGATCATCTCAGCGTTGCTTGGGCTTGTACAAATCGAGCGCCTTAGCTTCCCAAGCCGTCGGATGATCCGTCATTGCGTTTTGGTTGATCCAATTCACAAGGTAGTCGGTATGGTCCGACCAAATCTTTTTGTGCCCCTTTCTGTCATTCTTGTCGAATCTAGCATCGTACACGGACGCCCGCTTAGCCTCTGATCTCTTCTGACTGCAGAGAGGAGCAGAGAGGAGTCTATGCACTCACTCAAAGGTGTGACAGTAGAACAAGTATACTCCAGACACCTCGCCAAAATCACTCGTCGTGTCCGCTCCGTACTGGTTGGCGCAGAGACTGTTCCATGCTCCCGGGGGATCTGCGTCCCAATCCAATGGGTTGCCTTTGGTCAGTTCTGCAGCGGCCGTATGTGTTTTTGTTTGGCACAACATGCAAAGAAGAGGTGATGAGCGCGAAGACATATGACAAGCTTGATGAACTGCTGCGCTGCACTCACGCCACAGAGCGAAGCCCGGGAAGTGGAAGCCATTGGCAGGCATGGCGCTGCTAGCCACCAAAAGCCCAGCCAGCACGAAATGAGTCAACAGCTCGCAACAGCGCATCACGTTTGGATAGCTGTGGTTGAAGTTTTATAGAGATATTCTTCGAGGAGGGGAATGGCGTCAAGGCAAGAGACACTCTGGCAAAAGGCAAATATATGGTTGGTGAGAGTCTCGAATGGGAGGCTTCGTGTACTGTAAAGATCATAACAACAAGGAATGCTGGGCCTCGCGTCCGAAATGGGGAAATGGCTGGGAGGGAGAAGCAAAAGATCGTCGAGGGATCACATGGCTGGCATCCGGTAGCTCGACATGTTAGCGAGGCTGCACGGCCGGATGTCTCGATTCTGCAACGAGAGCACTTCGCAAGCATATTTCTCGGGCGTATCCCAGGAACAGCTGATTGAGTACAAGTACGCCAGTACTGAATGCTCAATCACGGTTGTACTACGGTCTCTTGTCGTTCCTCGACGTGGTAAGCCTGCATGACCCTCGGATGAGGTATCCCGCGCGTACACGGGCCTTCGAACGCCATCAAAGTGATGCCCGTGCCTTCATTTGTCGCAGCTAGGCAAGTGCCGATATCACGCAACTCCGATCGAAGAGGAGATGAGCGATCGTACAGCAGTCAACCCCGCGCTCGACTGGCACTTCTGGCGCGCTTATGCTCTACACGGATGATGTGGTTCATTGGCAAGATGTAGACACTGCATATGTGCATGTTATGCATGAGGCGCGCTCGCGACATTTTTCGAAGCCGGCTGCTCAGTCACGCGAGGGAAGGAGACGCGAAAGATTGGAATCAGTCATTGCGATTGACGAGTCTTCTTGCGAACGCTTGATTAAGTAGACTCTGACCCACGCTGCTATTGAGCGCACGATCCCCTTCTCTGCATGAGGTATCTGAACGGTCCAAATAGCGCACGGGCCTCCATTCGATGCACGTGTACAAGTCTCTTCCAATTCGTGCTCCCACTCGATACGGATTCGATCTTTTCTCACGAAAGCTGCTTGGGGACTTGAAGCTTCCAAAGACAACGTTCGGATGAAACCGCCATATCACTTCCTGAATTGCGCGCAGACGGACATGCTTATTGTTCATTTCGCGCCAGGCACTGTCCAAATTTCATTTCGGGACCTTACAGGCACTCGAGACCGACACCACATGCGTGTGCAGTCATGAACATCCGGCGTACCACTAATCGTAGGCGTGGTGGTGCCGCTTACGGAGCTCATTGCTTTTGCCCGCTTTGTAAACACACCACGATGGGAGTCATTCGTTGAGTGACGCAGACATGAGCAGACTGAGGGTTAGATGCGTTCGATTGATAGCAAATTGCATTTCTTGGAGGCACGATGCTGTCAAGTCAGCGTTCAGCGCTGACAGAAGACCTATCGCAGTGAAGTCTAATCCAAGCATTTGCTTTCCCCCACGTGGAGCTGGACAGACCTTGCTGATGTCGAGCTCTGCACCGTCTCAGATGAAGTGAAGCACTGGTCCGATGCGTCATACAATTGTTCTCTCAGCCGCTCTCCTTCGGTGTGCTCTCAATCTTCCACTCCTCCGTGCCGGGCTCGCGCACATGCTTGTTGATGTAATCAATGACTTCGCCCGTGAGGTCGCGCGGATCATCACTACCCGACCTGCATCGTGCAAAGCAATTTGTTCTCAGCAACATTTAGCTACTGTTCGCACTGAGCGATGCTTGGACTAATTCTGAGTCATTCGCGGCACTCACGTCGGCGTACGACAGAACAGAGCTATCTTTCCATGATAAGGACCGAAGCTGCCATTCGAGCCACTTGTCTGCGCATAGTTGACGCGACAAGTGTTGAGAAAGAGACCCGCAGCGTTTGGCACAGAGTAGTCTCTCAGTCCAGAGGTCATCTCTGAGACGTCAATGGGCCCAAGAGCGGTTCAGCATGCTACGCATGCGCATCAGAAGCGAGGCACACAACATCACTCACTGTAAATCCAGGGACTGTTGTCGTCGAATCTCAAATTCGGATACTCGGTATACGTGGAACCTGCAGCCGCAATGGCCATAGCGAAAATGAGCTTGGCGAGCATGCTGAAGACGTCGAGGGGTGATGTCTCGAATCGGCAAATGATGGTGTCGTGGCAACGATGCAATGGAGGAGAGCGCGAAGGGTACTTATATCATCCCAGTAAATGCAGCAATTTCTTTCCTGCTCACAATTGTGGGCACCTTGTCCTCTCATGTGGCAAATGCGAGTCTGGTGCTGTTCGTAGATCGGCCCACCCGAACTGTGCGATCCCGGCGCAGCATCAATTTGCAACGGACTGCCACGGTCCGGCCGCCTTCGTATCGCACGTCGCGCCCAACGGTCACTGAAATTTCGCGCCAACGACTTATCGAGTCTGATATTCACTGTCCGTTGAGAAAGGGCCTCAATCGAGTGGCTTTAAAGACACAAATCCGTTGTTTCAGCTCTCAGCGCTGACCGATGGATGGAACAGTGATTTTATGAAGCGCGAATCGTTTTTGCCGCGTACTTGCTCCATCATCTGCGCGAGCCTTGCCTGCCGAATCACAGAGCAACAATGCGCCCGCATACTGTTATATTGCGCATTCGCTTCATTCTCATTTGCTTCATTTCAGTTACTTGGAAGGGCCATTATTGTTGGCCTCGAGTGTGTATCGACGCAAGCCCGAGAATAGCTGCCCGTGCTTCAGATCGACATGGGCTCGATCGCCCATTGATGAGTGCCGGGCTCAAGAGAAGCATTGATACTGTCAATCACTTTGGCCGTTCTGTCCTCCAAATTGCCGTCGGACCTATCACAATAAGAAGTTTATTTTCAGAGGCGCTGAGGAATGTCAAGCTCATACCTGACTCACCCAATGCCTTGACACCAGAGCGCCGTGACACCTTTATAAGCACCAAAGTCGCCATATCCGCCTTTGCCGGCAACGTCTGGGCACACGTGCATGAAGAGCTGTCTAGCGGTGTCCGGATGAAAGCTTTCCAATCCATGCGACAATTCTGAAAGGCAAAGTGTGAAAGTGAACTTGGAGTCTTGTGCAGGAAAAAGATTTTAGAACTCGAGTCGCGAATTTATTCTTTTGACTCACTGTAAAGACCAAAGGTCGACACGAGAATGTCGGCAGAGACCCGACAGACCAAGAGGACAAGAAGTCCGAGAGCGAAGACTTTTGCAAGCATCCTGATAAAGCTGGCTCTCGCACGTTGTTGTAAAGAGCTGTAGGCGCGCCATTTGTGAGGCTCAGAGCTGCGCGTTGTGGCGTTGTGGGCCGGTGGAGCACCAGCGTCCTCTTTATACGCGCCCTGGAGAACCGAGACAGAATGTGCTACCCATCGTGTCGAGTCTGTTTGAGCACGGACGACGTCAACCCAATCAAAGCGGGACGTCAACCTACCACGATCAAAGCGGTAGTGTGAGTCCACTCTCGCTGACGTGTTTTGGATGTCTGCGTTTACAGGCATTTGCTCGACGTCGGCTCCCCCCCCCCCCCCCCCCAAAAAATTCTGACGCAAGGCCGGGCTGATAAACATCCTCGAGCTAGAACTGCCCCATCCGCAGTATCCATGTCGCTATTTGACGAGACTTTTGAGGTCATCAGTGTCTGTAAACGCGTTGAAGTCCGGGGTGTGTCTGCCTTCAACGGATTCGCGTGCGCGACGCGGCTGTATCGCGTGCCGAGATAGAAGTGTGGCTCAAGAGCGCGCAAATTCTGCCACACTCGTGACTTCTGGAGCAAGATGCGAGTACGAAAGCAATCAAATGGCCGTACCCCGCAGCGTGCAATGCGCAAGGCAAAGGACGATGCTGTCGAAGCACGTGACTCGCATGCCCCTGCATACTGATGCATACGTGAACACCTCTCCCGCACCTCTGACTCTCTCTCTCTATCATCGCTACTATCATCGTCTCCCGTGAAAGCTGTGTGTGATCTTATAGATGCCTGCGGCTTGATAAAGGCCACAGATGCGTGTGCACAGCGAGGCAAAAGATATTTGTCTTTGCTTACACACTGTCTGAGTACTGGCCCACCATGCTCGTGGCTTGGAACGCAGGCAATGGCAAGCGGAGCCGATCTCAGTGGGAATTCCGAATGACCTCTAGTCAGGATCTTCGTCGTGCTTATGGAAATTTCACGAACAGCTTCACATTCATCATAGATATTTGTGCGGCATGGATGCACTCATCCCATAGCTCAAGGACTCGAATGACGTGCTACGAGATGGAAGGTTTTGCTACGGCGACAATCTGCATGTCGTTTCAGAATTGAACTTGCACAGCTTCCCATTTGTGAGTAGCGGGGTCTAGAGCGCCGTTGAGCACGTCGATGGTGTGCGAGGTCTTGTCTTCCTCATATCCATTGTGGCTGTCACGATCGAGCGTGCCGATCATGAGAAAAAAAGGTTTCGAAAATTCCCGCATGCTTCGGAGCAACTCACTCCGGTCCGTGGCAGAACAATGCCGTATAGCCATTGTAAGGACCAAAGTCGGCACGGCGGCTTTCACCATACTCCTGTGTGCATACGTGGAGCCATAGCTGCCGAGCTGTGTCTGGATGGAAGCTCTCCAGACCATGGGTCAATTCTGAGAGGTACCGCACCGACGAAGTGGCTGGTTTCAGCAATCAGTATTCAACGCACGGTCCTCTTCCATGCTCGAGACAAATGAGCGGTCTGAAGAGCGCACAGGCCTCCACCTCATGCATGAATATATGAGTCTCTTCCAGTTCGATCTGTCGAGCTCCCACTCGTCACGAATTTGATTCCTTCCCGCAAGAGTCACCGCTATCTCGTTGTGGGGAGCGCACTCACTCCAAAGGCCATACTCGGGAGGGGTGAAGATGATGCCGGACTGACAGCTCACAAGCGCTAAGAGTGAAAAGACGTATACTGTAGAGAACATTGTGTAGCACGAGCTGGTTGTGATGGTTGTCGCTGAGAGAGAGACTTGCTTGAGAGAGCCCCGGGGCGCTTGCTCCTGAGGCCTGGAAGCCCGTAGCTATATCAGCGCGCTTCTAGCTACGAGCAGCGCTCGGTCTTTGTCATACTCGGGTGAGCGCTTGGCTGCAGCGAGCCGACACATCTTGGCCGTTGATGAGGAAGTCCTTGTATTGACCTGTCTGCACAAAGGGCGCTCAGAGTAGCACAGCGATGTCTACGGCATGTCGAAGCGAAAGCCACGCCGGTAAGCACCGGTTTCCTTGACGGCGCCTGCATTGGTCTACTCGCTCGCGATAGACGCTCTTCGATCGCTCAGCGGCCAGCAAAAGCTTGCCTCAAAGTATAGGAACCCTCCATCTGCATGCTAGCTGTGTGAGCAACTCGCTACAGTGGCCAAAACACCGATCGCGAGTGTCATGAGTTCATTTCAGCGCCCAGGACCGCTCTTGCTACGCCCAAAAAAAGCGAGTAAAGGTACATCGACGCACATCGCCGCGGGCGATCGAAGGCCAAGACCTCCCTCGGTCACTGCTACGACCCGCAGCCCGTTTCGCCGAAACGATGCATGACGCAATTTTGATTTGCCTCTCAACGTCTTGTCTCTCATCAACGAATTCCTCTCGGACTCCCATGCACATGCGCTCGCTGCACTCTAATTTCTCACGACTTGATGGCGTGCAAATCACACCTATAACTATAGCCGACGCTACCGCAGCACTTGACTATAGGGTCCGTTAGCTGATGCTCGTCGATCTGAACTTCCGCGGCTGGATACCTGATCGTGGATGCCGATCGATTAAAATTTCAAGTCACTCGATCGTAATTGGACATTTCCAAACACAAATCTTTGCTTTGAATCGAAAATGACAATTGACCAGGTCATTGACGATTCACATTCAAGATGCTCGACTTGAATGCCCGCGTGCATGCATGCATAGGGACCGCGTCTCGAGTCAGAGCGCCGCGCCGCGCCGCGCCGCGCGAGTCAAGAAGAGTCTTTTTTTTTGGCGCTCCTTTTTGCTTTCGCAAGACTGATCAAGCTGCGTATCGACAATCGCGAGTTGCTCTTTGCCTTGCTTGGCAGTCTTTTGGCTTTCCCTCGTCTTGCCCTTGATACGTCGACTGTACACCTGCAGCACCGACGCCTGCCATAGTTATCGGGGAAAACAAATAAAAATAGTGGTGCAAACGAGAGAGAGACGGTCCCACGTCTTGCCTCCCCAACCCCTTTACTTGCGCGCAGAAAATCTGGAGCTTGGGCTCGGTATAGGCGTAAAGAGGCGGTGCAAAAGCCTCGAAGAAGATGGCTGGTCTGCGCTACTGAAGCCAAAATTCGACCTTCCCGAAGCGGTGGATCGTGACAATCTGCTTCCGTTTCCGAAAGACGTGGGAGACCGAAGGCCTTCCGTACGGCCTGACGCATGAGATGCGACGGCAGACAAGTTGGAGGAGAATGTGGGTGAGAGCGTGTTGCGGATGGAGGAGGTACGCTCTCTCAGTTCTCTCGCTTGCCTCTGCTCCTGTAGGGAAAAAGCGACTCTATTGGCTTCTCGCAAGCTTGCTGAAGGTCTCAATGCGCTCGATGCAGTCTCGTTCGGGTCGAGTCGTGATGACAAAGAGTGGATGGAAGCGTTCCTTTGCGTAGCGGCAAGCGGGTCCGTACTCGTGCGCACCTGTCCGACTACTTCGAGCGCGTCGTCCTCGACAGTTACGTCCAAACGGCCTTCCGATAGCGGAGATAGTGCAAGCGAGCGAGGCGTCTCGCAATCATGGAACGCGTTGACCTGGAGGGATTCTCAGTGCCGCACTAATCTCAGCATAATCGGCACGGCACAGATGAAAGATCAATTAAGGTCGACTCACCAGTGGCACGTCGGTGCTCAGGTCACGCGTCGGGACCGGTGCGAGGAGCGTACGGCCAAGGTGCAAAACGAGCGCTGAAGCTTCTTTGGCTGTCAATTGCGATTCCAGCCGAATGGTAGATCCACACAGACTTGCGCGATAGGTGTTTGCCGAATCCTGCGGGCGTTGGGGAGGATAGCCCTGCCGCATGAATGATATCGCATCCCATGCCTGCTGGACAGTCAATTCCACACGCAGCTCCAGCCTCGAGCCGGTCAGAGAGAGTTTGCAGAGCTCAATTTCGGGCGCTCCGGAGGATGCGGACATTGCAGTGAAGAGCGGGTTTGATGGACTAGGCGTCACGCGCCAGGCACCTGGATAGCAGGGCAGAGATGATGAATCGGTGTTCAAAGTTCGGAGCGAAGGCATCTCGGACGACTTGCTAGAACTTTTCGATGCAAAGCATACACTCACGGCTATGCTAGGCTCGAGAATTGTAAGCAAGGCCAGCAGCATGACCTCCACTCAGGACGAGCTGAAGGGGCCACGTGCAGGCTCAAGATCGATCGAAGGCGAGTAAAGTGCGCCATCGCCACGATGAGTGTGTCATGGCGCATCGTCCTTAAGCACGTCATGGTGGTGGTGCGCGAGGAGCATACATGTGCCTTGATGCGCTTAATTGCGGCGGTGCGGATGTGGGCGTCGAGAGGATGCTATATGAATCGTGGGCCGCGCGCGCGTTGCAACAGGGGCTGCACCTATCGTCTTCCTGCACGTCTGCCGAAGGAGGACGAAGACGGCCCGAAATGATGGCTGAACTGAGTCGCGCCGTAGTAGTCTGTGGACTCATCCACGTCCGTGGGCGTTTTCAAAGCTGACAAGCAGTACACTTCCATCCTTCAGTCAAGCCTTCGACGAGTGAGAGAGAATCGGCTTTTGTCGCTGACACGGTGCATTGTTCAAAAGTTCCGAAACAGTCAGAGGGTCTTCTTGATTCGAACACGAACAGCACGCATACCAGCGCGATCGACTTTCACGATGAATGCATGGACGGCAAAGGCGCTGAGAAGATTGTGATCCAGCCGAGAGACATCCGATCGACAAGGCAAGCTTCTCAACAACACTGATTGGCAATGTAGTGAGGAGAAGGGAGATATACTCGAGGGCCCAGCGGTGCCGCAAAAAAAATTCACCACGCTTATTGTTTCGGTTGAGGGACGGAGGTGCTGTCTATGCCATGTGAGGAGCAGCGGGAATTGCTTTGGTGGCGGCGGCGCGACGGGGAATGTTGGTGCGCATGTCAATAGTCGAAAGTAGAAACCTGACCTCGCAGCTCGAAAGCCTCCTTTGCGTACTTGTTCCTAGTCCTCTGTGGCGCTTTGAACTGCCTGATCGCTCAGCCCCAACGGATTCATCGCCAAGCGCCTTCGTTTGTACTTTTGGCAAGAAGCTGCATCGCAACAAGCTACGTCCCGGCCCGGCAAAGACATCATGCAGGATGTTTCATTTTGAAGCGCACAGAGGAAGGTGGCCTTGCTGGACGATGAGGTGGCCGCCGAGCGATCAGCCGTGTGTCTCGCTCAAGCACAACCCTTCATCATCGATCCTTGCCACCACCCTCACCGCTACTCACTTGACAGAGACTGCGCGATCAACTTCTGTGCCTTTCTTTGTTTCTTGGTCATGTGCGCACGGCTCGCATCCGTCCTCTTCAAAGGCTTGGGCTTGGGGTGCGCACTACTACTCGCGCACTCTTTGGAAGCGTGCGGCAGGGTAGAAGCGGCGCTGGTGAATGCTGGGCGTGCAGGTCCCGGATGCGTTGGCAGAGGCACCGAAGGGAGGGGGCCCGCTTCGATAGCCTGAAAATGCAGCGTTGCTTCAACATATCTGTCTTCCGCGCTCCGCAAGGACACGTCCCCCGTCACGGCTCACCAACACTCCAAGACCCGCCGAGCTTGTCGGAGCTGCAGAAGAGCCCATCAAGCGCCTGCGATTGTGTATAAAGTTCCATACCGCTAGAGCTTCGTCGGAGGAGAGTTCCATCGTAGAGCGCCAATCGTGACCTTGAAAAGTCACCTTGACCTTTTTTTGATCGTTGCTGGGTGCAAGGGACATCGCGTGGTTAGAGGGTCTTGCTGAGCAGAGCAGGTCAAGTGCGCCTTGATATCGATCAATCTGCGCTGCGGTGTGCAAATGCGCGGTCGAGTGGTCTGTCAAGGACAAGACGGGGGATGATGTGTGCACAGGCGTACATGTAGTAGTGCCTCTCTAGCAGCAAAGCTGAGCTTTTGACAGATGTGGCGCCCTCTTCGCTCGGTGAAGGAGGCTTGAGAGCTTCAGCAGCTTGCGAGCACAGACAGAGTACTGACGACTCACGTGACTGTTCGTCAGGTGCGTCTTGAGCAAGAATACTCCTCACCTTCTATTATACGAGATGAAAGCTGCACAAGGTTGTCGGATGATCAAATATATCAGGTATGCTATTCACAATTCTCGAGTCAAACGATCATCTATATACACGGCGGTGGAAGGACTCCGGCGCAATTTGTGGTCGCCGCATGCATGCAGGTGGGCGCGCGGGCGCCGTGGGCCATGCACAGATTCAGCATCCCACACAGTCACGAGTCACGCGTATACAGTACGTTCACATTCAAAATTCGTGCTCGTGACACAAATTGTGATTCCGACCATAGTTCATTTTTGCTTTGACTTTTTGAAGCAACATCACCGCGGCTGTTTTCAATCCGACTCATATAGATCCATGCAAGAGGTCGACATGCAGTCGTGAGTGAGAGTCGATGAGGGCTGGCTGCATGCATGCATGCAGCCCAGGGTCAGGGTATGTGCAGTGTGAGTGCAGACCATGTCCCGTGACGCATCCACGCGGCCCCCTGCGCATCCGCATGTAAAGCGTCGCTCGTCACGTCCTATTGATCTGAACGATCAACAACCACCATCGACGCTGGCAGACCCGTTGGTCGTGAGTTTGATCTGGATTGCTGATCGACATCGTTACCGATAAAGTCCTCTTCATCAGCACAGCAGCTGCCGAATGTGCAGAAAAAAAAAAAGATGACATTCAGCTTGCCAGCCAAGATGAACCATCGTCCTTGCTCGGCACCGCACGCAGGCTCCTGCACATCCTCATCAACATATTGTGGCGCCCTCGAGGTGACGCGTACATGAATTTGAGTGATCGACTTTTCAATCTTGCTACACTCTACGTGCTCATCACCGCCAAGATGATCAGGCGGGCGCGCAGTCCGAACACGCTGTTGATTGACTTGCAGGGTCATCAAACAAGTTGTGGCGTGGATGTGGGTGTCCTGCACCTCGTAGAAGGCTTCATGCACCAATAGAGAGCATCGCGTGCCCTGTGAGTGGTGTATGATTGCTTGGATACTCGTGAATGCTGACCATGATGAAGGGAGGGCTTGCGACATGCACGAACCTTTGGCCACACGCATTTGTGGACTGGAACGGGACTATAAATGTCCATGCGGACGCAGTCTCTCACGCCGTCATCCGTTGGAACGAAACACGATTCTACGAAGTAACGAAGTGAGCAAATCTGCGATCCAGAAATCACTAGCACCATGAGAACCGAACGTCTTTCCGAGTCGCAACGTGACACTCAACGCGCACAAGTAGCTGAAGGTACGTTGTAGGTTAGTCTCTCGGTGGGATGAGGACACTCACATTTAATTCGCTGTTCCAGTAGTGCACGCAGAGACTTGCACCTGTGCCATCCTCGAGCTGCCATCGCTGACGCAGGAAGTACTTCAATCGATCAGCTTTCGCAAGCAAGTGCGTAGAGAGGCAGTGTGCCCTCGAGACAAATTTGTCAAAATCGAGGTGCACGAGGCATTCGACTACCAATTTTCCGAGTGGCTATGCGTCAACTGCGCAACCACATTTTGGAGTGCAAAAGAGATAGTCAAGCACATCTACGGCGGTGCAGCTCACAATCCCAAAGGGTGTAACTGGGAGAATGTGGGGGTCAGGGAGGTGGAGCACAGTCTCAACAAGCGCAAAAAAGCATTTCAATCCGCTGCCAACTTGACCCAAGTATGTATCAGCACGACTTTGGCAATCATCTTGTCAAGAAGCTGGAAAGGCAGAAAAAGCTCACCCACAAACACCCTTTTTCGACCGTTCCAGAGTCGTGCAGCTAAACGTAGGCGCACTCTAACAGCGATGCCTATGACCGACTTCCCTTTGGATCTCGACGACTAAGCGTAAAGATAGTCCGCTAACAAGTTTCAGCAACCGCTCCTTGGGCATCCAACAGCTCTCAACGTGCCTCATTTGGTGTACAGTTTCAAAAGCCGAGCGCAAAAAATGCCATGAAGAACTTCTTTGACGAGATGGAGGGTTCGAGTGTGCCGTCGGAGAGCTGAGCTGATCCGAAATCCATACCTGGGTAGAAGTTGACTTGGTAACTGCTTAATGCACCCTAATGCAGACATTTCGGCTCGCACTCACAGTGAATCTGGCGTCAAGCGACCCTCGCGGCGGCCATACGCGCAGCCAAGCTTTGTCCATCGTCCCACCGCAAGGCTTTGCTTGGAGGTGGCAAAGCTGAAATTTTCGAGGTGTACGAATGCCTACAAGACACGCCTGCATCTGTCATCTTTCAATCGAACAAGCGCTGTTCATAAACCACTCCTGGCCATCAACCACGCTCAACGTGCTTCGGTCAATCCCTTCTACCTCTGCCCTTGCCTTCTACCCTCCCTGTTCATCGGCAACATGATCAAACTACTCACCTGCATGTCCCTCGTGAGCGTCTTGATGACGAGCACCTCTGCTTGGGTCCAGCCTGGCTACGGGCTTTGGAGTGAGTGACGAACGGGACAGCACACTATAAATCCTTGCACGCCGCTTGCTCGCTGACAACCGCCGGGAACCCTTGCGCATCTCCCTAGAGCTCACAAGCAGCCTCACGCTCGACGAGACGGAAGCGCACGATTACTGGGTGCAGGGCTGCACGGAAAAGTGGGGCAAGAATGCCAGAGCTGATTTTGCCTGGATCGAAACGTCCAGGTACTATGCCTTGTACTGTCATCAAGCGTGAGTCGCGCACTTGGTCCCTCTGCCTGCTCTTCCTGCTCGTGTACCCAAGGAGACTTGTCACTCCCATTTCTGCAGCGGAGACTATGCCGGATCGGACAAGACTTCGGAAACCATCGACTATGTCAACTTCAACGTACTTCCCAAAGACAAGGCCGATTGGCGAGTTGAGGGGATCCCGATTTGAGAGCCGAGCCAGCAGCGTTGAAATGCACCTACAAGGCGGCGCCTCCGAGTCGGCTTTGTGTCAGATGTAGTGCATGGCAAGATGCTCAATCACAAGTCAATGCATGTCGTGAAGCCTGCAACTTGACCCGGTGCGTGATCTCGTGTATCGGATCACTGCAGGGGCTCGTAAAAGCCACGTCTCGCAGCCACAGAACGGATCAAGACGTGCTATGCTATTCCCGTGTGATGGTCCATCTTTTGGTCTCCGTGACTTTTGCCTGCCAGAGCTGGGCTGCCTCAACTCGAGCCAATGCCTGAGCTTGTATCTCGTTGACTAACCCCGCAACGTGGGGTCACTCCTTCCCTTGGCGCAGAAGCGGCCCTGATATACAAGCTCGCTGTACTTTCGCATGCTGGTCTGCAAATGGCCTGCAAATGGCGCAGTCAGACGTGAGTTGTCACTCCAAGAGATCACGGTCCTTCGAGCTCATCGCATCCAGCGTCCGTGCATTAGCTAGTCTCGGTAGCGAAGACAGTTGTGGTGGCGAGAATCTACTGAGGGCACGGTCCCCTTCATCAGCGAGGCAGCTGAACGGTCTAGGAATGCACGAGCCTCTATTTCATCGATGTATACAAGTCTCTTCCAGTCCCCTCAGTCGAGCTCCCACTCGATGCTAACTCGATCTCCTATCAAACAGAAATGCCACGAATATACGGGCATCTTTGCTGGGGATCGATGTTGGCCGTATGCGCAGATTTGCCGCACCCTCGGCCCGTGTGACTCTTTTGCTCCAATTGCGTCCAAATGCGAGAATATGCATCCGAAAAAGGGTGATGCGGTAGGCCTTGTCTGCGGGGCGCCGGGCGCAGACAGCCTCGAGCTCTCCTTAGAATCCGAGGAAGAGAGCTGTTGCATGTTTACGGTTAGCAGAAGCTGCCCGGATGCCCGCGGGTAGGCATCGACAAGGTGCATTTCAAACGGCTGAATCTCGCGGTGACTCTGCACGCGACTGACGGCGCGGGGTAGCGCTGGAGGGTACTCGTCGACGAGCTTGGCGGCTTGGCGAGCTATGAAGTATTGGATTTGAGGGCTCATCGTGCCATCGTATGTAAGACACCGCGGGCCAGAAGTACGAAGACGTATTTGATGTTCCGAAGTGCATTGCAACACAAGACTGATTTCGCACCTTGGCACTTCTGTGGGGTCACACTTCAACACAGAGGTTGCCTGCGTAGGACTGGCTTTCGAGTGCCGGTGCGAATACTTGACGGTGCGGTCCGAAGAGCCATATAAGTACAGTAGTACCTTTCCGCTTCACATCTCTTCTTTTTCCCGTCAGTAGACGATATTCTTGCGACAGAGCTCGATCTTTGAGCATCCAAATCCTACCAGTAAGGCTTCAACATCCAAAATTTCTCAAGATGATGAGAATGATTAGCTTCGTCTGCTTGATTGCTCCCGTGGCGCTGGCGGTGAGCGATTTCGTCATGCCAGGCTATGGTCTTTGGGGTGAGTCCTCCCTACAGTCGCGAGCATGGACATCTCCACGACTCTTGCTGACCTTGGTGCACCGGCATGACCAGAGCTGACTAATCGTCTGAGCGACATGGGCGAGCTCGAAGCCGAGTCGGTTTGGAACCAAGCTTGCAGGGACCATGTTGGTCGAGGTGTCAGGTCGGACTTCGGCTGGATAGAAGACCGAAGAGCCTATGGTCTGTATTGCCATGCGCCGTAAGTCGAACACACGAGCTTTCGCTGTGCAGATCCCTCTCTTCGCTGTGCGACTGATGAGACCAACTTTGCCACTTGATACGCTATAGAGGTGCTCTGGAAGGCTCCGATAAGACCGAAGACACCGTCAAATATCTCAACACCAAAGTGCAGCCTGACAAGGAAGACTGGACCATCGAGGCGGTGTAAGGTGGTGATGATGTTAAGAGGGCTCCGATTTGGTAAGGGATCCTAGCACTTGTCTGATCAGCTTCATCATGGCTGCACACGAGCTTGCTTAATTTCAATATTGATTACGCTGCTCAATCAGCATGTCTCAGCTCATGTGAGCATACTTTTGTCCTCTGGCTCGAACAGCTACAGCTCTTGCTACCTCGCGCTTCAGCTCCAGCTTCTACGGGACAGACTACAGAGCACATGAACACTGTAATGGTGCAGTGAGTTCGTGGCGATTGCGAAGGATACAGAGGCCAGTCAGATTCGACTCTCAGCCTGAAACATATAGATCTGAGCAAGCAGCTGCTTGGTGAGAACCTTCGTGATTGAGTGCACCCCAAGTGCTAGACTAATTGTCTTTGGAGCGCTGCTGCGCCAAAGCACCATCTCGCTACAAGGAACATCTTCTGCCGCGAGCAAAGTTGGGGGCTGCCACTCGGTCGATGCGAGAAAAGCCGCGAACGCTATAAAAAGTGCTCGAATGTGCACTTCAAGCGCACAACCCTTCATCCACAAATCGCAACAGTGTCTTCGACACGACTTCTTCAACGCTTGCAGCCGTACTCACACTCTGGCGAGCGCAGATATGGAGTCTCCCAACACGTCGTCAAGCCATGCAGAGCATCGCGAAGTGCAGGTCGGTGACAAGACGGTTGGTGAGTGTTCTCAAGGCACACCAGGTCCGTCCAGAGCGAGACCAAGCTCGCGACTTGTAGACGCTCAGCGCTGTCTCTTTCTCCAGTGCCTGAAAGCAAGCTGTCATTGACTTACCAGATCGTCGAAGGATGGCAAAAGAAAGTCAAGAGCCTCGAAGCACAGCTTCAAACGGAGATTGAGGCCCGTAAGCAGCGCGAAATCGAGGAAGAGGAAAGAAAGAACTCGAGAAGGATGAGCGTTGGGGATGGGTTCCCTTCAAGTACAAGGACATTCCGCGTCTGGCCAACGAGACATGGCTTTGCGCCGAGTGCTAAAGTTTCCAACCTACGTGGAAGCGCTTCAGCACTTCTCAAAAGACAAGGGGCCACAAAAGCTCCAATCAATGTTGGACCTGGATGCAACACATGGCAGAACAGAGGACTACCACAACTTCGTGAGGGTCGACTGTCGGGGAGCGCTGGACATAGGTAAACTTCGTGTTCGTGGTCGTTACTGGCGTAAGTTCTAGCTTTGGCGAAAGAGGAGGGACAAGCTGCGGAGCAACCAGCAGCAAAGTAAGTCTTTACGCTTGACCTCGACACGTGGCCAGAAATTTGCGAATGGAGCGCAGCGCTGACTTGCCAGCTTCAATCTCAACGACAGCTTCGACATTTGCCAAATCGACTTCAGGTGTGCTTGCGAGCTACGACAAGAACAAGCCTGGATCATCAGCAAGACAAGCTCCAAGACATCACTTCTGATCGGCGTGTATGACGCTCCCCCACTGAACCCTCCGCATGACTGTAGTTGCAATCTCTTGATCGCGACGTCCAATTACAAGAACAAATTGCTGTCTTTTTGCTCACTTGTCACGGGCCCGATCTTCTACGAGTGTGCCCCTTCTTAAGGAGTCGCCCGCAGTGATAGCGCGGCTCGCTGCAGGCTGTGCAGCGGCGCGCTGCAGCTTGTTGTCTCGAGCTTGTCTCGCTGATGATTGACAGTGATCTCTTCACGACAAGCAGACACGCGCTGCATGAGGCGTGATGAATTTGAAGAGAGGGACAGGGACGAGAAGCAGGGACTGAGCCGAGTTCGATGTTGATTAGCGCAGCAGCTTCGCCCGAGGCCCCGGCAATCTCCTGCCGCGACCGAGGCCTCGCTCGGTGCTGCGCTGTCTCAGAGCGAGCATAGCCAGCGCTGAACCCCCAATAATGTCTTCCAAGATGCCTCAACCTGATTGAGAAAGGCAAACATTGTACGATGTCGAAGCGCGTCTGCCTGGTGTCGATTACAGCGTGACTTGACTAGAATCAGCCTCTCAGCTGGCTTGGGGTACGTGTCTTGGGAGATGAATCTGCTGATCGCGACCGCCTGAGTTTAGAAACAAAATAAAGACGTGTCTCGACTGCGCAAATCGAGGATGAAATTGTAGACCTGTCTTACCGAGCGAAACGTTTAGCGGCAATTGACTGAAACCCTGCGTCTTGGCACTCTTTTGCACAACTGTACGCACGGCACATGACGAGCCACAAAGCAACCATCCAACTATTTTCTGGGCGAGATGATGATTGGAGCAGAAGGCTGTTCTGTCCAAGATTTAGCAAATGAAGTTGCTGGAGCCGTGTCTTTCTTATAAGATCGTATGACCGACCGAACCTGGAACAGTGCAAGGACCTTTCGCATTGTTGTCCCAACATGGCGCCTTTGGCGCTCCTCGCTTTTCTCAAGCACCCTTCGATGTGCATCGCTACAGCTGTACACCTCATCCTTGATCCAGTCACGCGTGTCCAAGCAATCTCGCCTGGAATCATGGGCAAGAAGAAAGAAGCAGCAGCAGCCATTGCTTCCCAAAAAGATGGTAAGCCCTTCGCTCAACAGGGTGAGTTGAGTGCGCGTGAGGAGAACATCGACTTGCTGCGAAGGCACACTTCTCTTACCTCGCAACGCCCCAGACTCTTTCAAATTGTCCTCCCAGGTCGACCAGAGCGCCACCGAAAAGCGAAAGCGCCTGCAAGAAGAACAAGAGGCAGCAAAGAAGGTTCGATGGGGCTATGAAAAGTTCCAGTACGAGGATATTCCTAAGCTGGCAGATCATACTTGGCTCTGCACCGAATGCATAAGGACCTATCCGTCCTTCGCAGAGGTTGCTCGACACTTCTCTACGCAAGGTACGAAGAAGTCTTTGTGCGTTGGCTTGAAGAAAGATTGCCTGGCCGATGGGAACCCGGCAAGCAAAGCTACCCAATGGCTGGGCAAGGTCGGATGTCCGATTCTCTTCGATATCACCAAGCTTCGAGTGCGCCGTCCATGGTACACCTACGTATCAGCAGCCAAATCTGTGAGTGCACGGGCAGCTTGAGTCGATGGAGGACACATCTGCTTACACGAAGGGCCCGCAATTACAAGCCAGCCAACTTAGGGTTAGGCATCCTGACCCAGCCGACTCAAGCTGACCATTGAAAGTGACCGCGAATAGCCGTCCTCCAGCACCAAATCAAAAGGGCTCACCGTACAAATCATGTCGGGCCTACCGAGCGCCTCTGCACATGCATCGCCAGATCGTCCTCGACTGCTGAGTGCGGCACCACCGAGGCCCTAGAAGTCTTCTTGGCGAAATGAGATGTTGTACAATCGTGCTCTCTACCCGGGTTTTCCCCGTCAGAATTCCCTTTCAATCTGCGATCTCTGAAAATGTCAACCAAGCGCAATGGGCAGCATCTCACGTTGTGCGTCTTGTGATGGCGATCTGACCGTGAGTGGCACGCTGGCTAGTCAAGTGCCAGAAGTCTTGGCGGCCGAGCTTCGGTGGCTGAGTTGATGACCCCGAGTCCGAAAGCAAATGAGCTTGAAAAGCATGTCCCTGCATGGAGTCACGAGTGCAGATCGGTCTGCTCCCCCCCACCCCCAACTCCTCGTCATTCGCTGATCCAGCACACGATACGAGCCAGCTTCGCGCGCGCGCGCGCACCCCACCTCTTTCTCAATCAAGGGGGCAGCCCAGTATGCTTCGCTCACGACGCGTGACTGCCAGCTCCATGCGCAGATCAACTCACGACTTTTGAGTTGTACATTTCTTGGAACATTTCGGCAAACGCGCGCTAGCATCCTTCGTGGATCGTCGAGTGGGGCGGGGAGCAAGGCGGGAGAGAGAGAGACAAGCCTAATAAGCGTACTCTCCGCCAGCCGCGCTCCCTCCGTTCATTCCACCTCCCCCGCCCGCAGCATAAGCATGTCCCGCCGTCGACGCCCCATTCTGTCCAACATACGCGTTGCCGCCGCCATTGTTGCTGCCATTCGACATGGCTCCGTACCCTCCTGCTGCTCCATTCATGCCCATCGCTCCGTCACCATTCTCCATGCCCTGCTGCTGCTGCTGCTGCTGCTCGTGCTCGCCAAAACCATTCATGCCTTGTCCTACCTCGCCCGTCGTCAATTCCTGAATGATTTGAGCTGTGCGTAGCTCGAGTATATTGAGCGCCTGCGCGGTGCGCAACCGAGGGAGGCGGGGGTTTTATAAGCACGAGCGGAAGCACGTGTGCGGTGGTCGGACCGAATCCCCAATTCCTCCCTTTTTGCTCTCGCGCACGCTCGCCAACTCACAGTCTCGACGACCTCTTCGGGCGACATGCTTCCCACGGTCTCCACATCAAAGTAGAATCTTCCAGGTTTGGCTCGAAAGTCGAAGCTCTCCGTCACTCTTCCCTCCACATCCCTAGCCGGCGGTTCCTCATCCTTTGCATTCTCGCTCAAGGGCCATTCCGCCAGCGCATCGCGCTCGTGCCACAAGGAAGTGTGGCGCAAGACGTTGTGCGGATCGTACTCGAAACCGATGGCGCTGACGGGAGACCACTTGGCGTGCTCCTTTGCGAATCCTTTGCGAGCGACCAAGCGCGCTCGGATCTCTTGATTAGCTTTCAACTTGACCAGGATGATGCCGTCGCTCGACGCATCGTCTGTAGCGACAGCAAAAAAGTCGTCCCAAGTCGTATCAGCGCTGTGCGCCCCCCGCTATCTCGCACTCTCGTTGGCATACATCACGACCAGCCTATCTCCCAGCGCACTCACTATATCCCACCGGACATCCAAAGTTACTGGCCCTATTCGCAACCTCTGGTGTAGGTTCCTCATACGGGTTGATGTCATCTGTAGGTCCTCCCAGTCCACCCTGACCCAGTCCGGGACTCCGGATGAGATCCTTGGAGGTGACTTGCATGGAATCCGAAGCTCTCATGTTGCTGGTCGCGCGCGCCTTGAGCGTCAGCTCGATGGAGCATTTGGAGCAGCCCTCTTCGCATGCGCAGTCCTGCACGTGCGAGCGCAGAGGATAGCGCATCAGTGACGCAGTAGAGGAAGCATACTGGACGCTCGTCTTACCATATCCTTTGCCTCTTCTCCTCCGCGAGTGACCGCCTCTCACTCACTCTTTGTTCCACCAAGCTCCTCATAGCATCCGTCGAGATCAGAGGCACCATGCCCAACCTATGAGCCAACATTTCGTCGGGCAGAGCTGTAGTGTTCTCCTGAATTTCGACCATATCGATCGCGCAAGTGGGTATATCCGCAATCATTGTTCTCCTCAGAGCGTTCGCAAAGCTGCCTCGGCGTGGGCAAGCGTAGCGTGTAGCGAAGAGTGAGCAGCGAGAAGCGAGAAGCGAGCAGGGTGGGCGCAGCGAGCGTGGAAGCGCAGCGCTGCAAAAACTCACGAGAGGTCCACCCCGTCCAGCACAAAGTTTATCTGATCCTTGGCGTAGCGCGAGATGGTGACACGAGGTCTAGCCTGACCTGGCGGTGCCAGGAATCCTGTCCTTAGCGGCGCATACTGAGATTGATACTGCGACATTCTGAGTCGGAAGAGCCTGAGCTTGAGCTTGAGCCTGATGCGGCGTGTAGCAAGCTTGCAAAACGTTGCTCGGTGCGTCTGATCGAGCCGATGGGAGGGGCTGAGCAAGCCTGAGCTGAGCTGAGCTGAGCTGAGCTGAGCAAGATGCAGAGAAGAGAAATTCGAGGCAGAGATGGTACCTGCCGGGAGATCTGCTGCGATGGGCTCTTCAACTGAAGCGGCGCAGCGCACAGCGCAGCGCAGCGTAGCGATTGAAGTTGGCCCCTTCCTGCTGCTTTTGCCTCACAGACCGCTCGCTACGGAGAGTCGGGAGCTTGATCCAATCCGATCCAGCTTTCACCTCACAACAGCGTTCCTACGAAATTCTCTCCTGCCAAAATTTGCAAACGGATGCTTGCCCCCCCCTCTTTCCCCTGGAAATGGTTGATTGGGACGCGGCTTTTCGATGCTCTGATCTCCACACGCGGCGACAAGGATGTGCGAGCGGGCGGGCGGGCGGCCGGGCGTTTGGTGGAGCAAGCAAGCAAGCAGCTGGCCCGAGATTGGAGAGGATGAGGATTGAGAGGCGTGAAGCTGCGCGTGCTCGATAGCCTCGGAGGGGGCAGAGTGAGTCGGGGTGAGGATGCGACGATGTGCAGCGTGAACACGCGAGTCCTGGTTGAAAGGACGGGGGAAGGGGACAGGACAAGATGGGATCGGGAATGGCAACAGGAACAGGAACGGCAACAGGATGAGGATGGTGGAGCGACGTGCTTGGTGGCGGAATAAAGTCTTGAGTGATGGCGCACGAGCCGAGTGCGTGAGCGCGACAAGTATAGTCACGTTCGACCATGAAGTCAGGCAAGAGTCCCAGATTGTGAGTTTGCAGTCACGTGAGTCTTGAGCACCGCCCACCGATCGCATGCAATTCAATTCACGTGATTATTAAAGTCACCCAGAGGCATCATGAACTCAAGACTGAGTGGCCTCACGACTCGATCACGATTCGTGACAAGCGACCGTTCCGCCATCCCTCCTACCCACCGCATCCCACCAATCTGTACCCCCCACAATCAGTCTTTCGACCCGCATCTCCCTCCCCGTCCCTGCTGCCCCCTGAACAGTCGCAGCCGAATCGTTGCTTGGTGGGCAAGACATGGACGATCCAGCAGAGATTGCAGCTCTGGCTGTCGAGTACTTGCAATCGTTGGACAATCTGCCTCAAGAAGTGACGCATCGCATCAAGGAGATTCAACACAAGGATGCCAAGTTGCAAGGTGAGTGTGAGCATATACTCATGTCAGCTGCTTCGTTGCGCGGTCCCCATCGGATTCCATGGTCCCCTTGCTCACTTTCGCCCCCACAATACTCGCGCACACACGTGCAATTCCCCAGAACTCTTGCCAAAGATTGCGTCGCGCGAAGCCAACTTGCGCGAACTCCTTTTGCGGTCCGGCGGTGCAAGAAGCAGCAGCAGCGGCAGCGGCAGCGGCACGGGTAGCAGCGGCAGCGGAAGCGGAAGCGGCAGCGCGCCCGGCACGGGACCTTTGAGCGAACCCGACTCTCTCAAAGCCGAGAAGTTGGCAGAGCGCATCCGATCGGATTACAAGAGGGCAGATGATTGGTCGGAATCCAAAGCTGCTCTTTCCTTGGCATTATGGCGCAGCGTGGATGGGCATCTCAAAAGGCTCAACGAGGAACTGCACAAGGTCAATTCGGATCTTGTCAAGAGCACAATGGCGAGCATGGGATTGGCTGCAAGTGCGGAGAATGCGACGCTGGGTCTGTCTTCCTTGGGCGGCTTGGCCAATGGTGGCAATCTAGCAGACATCGCTGCTGCTGCTGCGGCGGCGGCGGCGGCAGCAGCTGCAGCAACTCCTGGAGCTAGCACAAGTCGGCACGCTTCACCGTTTGCGGGCGCATCATCGATGCTGATGGGTAAAAAGGATATCACTCTGACAGCTGCTGCAAGCGGTACGAGCGGTCGATCATCGATGGGTGGTGGAGGCCTATCAAGCTTGGCACGTCTCGGTACACCATCCACTCCTTCCGCCGGCGACAAGTCGCTCCTCTCCTCCTCCAATCTGGCCATCGGAGCAGCAGCAGGCGGCTCGCTATCCAGGAAGAATGTGGGAAGACCCAAAAAGTTGGAAGGTGGTACGGAGACGGATGCAATGGGACGCAAAACTACGGGCACCATCAGTAATAAACATGCCAACTCTCTCGGCTCCGCTCTGTCGGACGGCCTCTCGGGCTTATCCACCGCAGAGGATATGGAGAAGGATGGAGAGCTGTACTGTACTTGTCAGAGACCCAGTTTTGGGGAAATGATCGGTTGCGACAGCGACGATTGTCCGATCGGTGAGTTACTTCTCTAATGTTTTTTGCGCACACCTCTTCCTCCCCAAGCATCGCTTGCTTTTGGCTTTCCACCACGATGCTTCGAAGCTCATCAAATCCCTTTTCCTCATACATCCCTGTTGTTCCTCTTTCGCCCCCCTCGCGCTTTTGCAGGCTGGTTCCATCTGGAGTGCGTACCGGGCTTGGAGAAACCTTTGCCTGCTACGTGGTACTGCTCACAGTGCACTGCGCGCATGGAGGTGGAAAGGAAGGAAGCGGCTGCTGCTCAAGCGGCAGCTGCGGAGTTGAAGAGGGAACAATCGGTCAAGGACAAGGAAGGAATGAGCAACAAGAACAAGAAGCGAAAAAAGTGAATGCGAAGGGGGGAGCGGGAGCGGAGGCGAGGGGGGGCAGGTGTGTGGACGTCCGCGCAGAGATTCGCACGCTTTTGGAAAAGAGGTTCTCTTGCCCTCCCTTGCCATAACCTCTTGCACCTGTGCTTCTTCTGGCTTCCTTCTTCTTCTTCTCCCACCCTTTGCCTTTCCCCGTTTTTTCAACGTTGAACCGAGCATATTCTCGAAAGCTGTCGAAAGGTTACACTTCGTACATGTATCATATCCCGTCCCACATAACAAAGTATTCAACTTTCCTCATCCCTTTTTTTTTCTTCCCTTCAAAGCCGGCCATGTGAGGGGAAGGGTGCGCTCAAGGAGATCCTTTTTCCGCCTAGCGCAAGGTCGGCCGCACCACCACCACGACTACGACCCCTCAAAGGGGCGCGCAACTGCAGTGGCGCGATAAAGCTTGCCATGTGCTCTGGAGGGGTACGGCCAGAATCTCCATCAGAGTTTTGCCCCAAAATGTTTGCCACGAACGGACGGTGTGGACGTCCCCGTCGATGGCATTCATGGTCAAGGGAAATCCGACTGCAGCCGCGCGTCTCGCGCCTCGAGGTGGCAACAGGCACAGACCGCAGTGGGCCGCAAAAAAAACAGATTCACATTTGAATGTATCGGGCGTCGAGGTGAGTTGATGTGAGGGTGACATTGTGAAGAGCGAGAGTGGGGAGCGAGAGCAGCTAGAGGCGAGTGGAACCTCGATCGAGAGAGGAAGGGCGAGATGCTGATGGGGACCGGGTCAAAGAGGCACAGTCATTCGTCGTTCGCGTCGCATCGCATCGCATCGCATCGCGGCGCGGGCTCGGGGAAGAAGGGGCCAAGAGCAAGATTGGAAAAAAAAGGATCACCTACCCTTCATCCTGCTCTTGAAACTTCCTCGCGCTCTATCGATAGACCTGGGTCTAAAGTCTATGCGGTCCGACGAATGGCTGTACGAGTGCCTGTTGTGCGAATGCGCGTGCGTGTGCGATCGAGCTTCGTTCATCCCGTGCGACTGTTTGGATTGTTTGGCAGCAGCGGGGCCAGAGGCGTAAAAGCTGGATCCGTTTATAGGTCCGCCAAAAGCAGAGGAGCGTCCCGCCTGTCCGCCCGTCACGTACGGGCTGGCAATCGCAGACGCTAGTGATCCCGTAGAATGCCTATGCTTCTTTTTCTTGTGTTTTTGATCACTGCTGCGCGCTTCTTGCTCCTTCTGTCTCTTTGCCAGATCAAAAGTCGTCTTCTCGCTTTGTACAATGCGTTGCTTGCCCACATCTTCAGCCTGCTCGTCGTTCTCCTCCTCCTCCTCCTCCTCCTCCTCCTCCCCCTCCTCCTCCTCCTCATCGCTAGCAGAAGGCAACAGCCTCCGCTTTGGCGGCAGTCCCAAACCAAGTGGCGCCGCTCGCTGCTGCGAGGCGTCGCTCAGAGGTCGTTGAATGGATGTGGCAGCTAGAGGCTTGGCGCTTATGGCGTCGGCCAGGTTCCGAGGCTCTGCGACGTAAAATAGAATGTATGCGGATCGATCGCTGGCGATGCCTTGGCGGAAAGGAGGTCTCATGGGCATCACGCTCGAGTCGTTCATCTCCACCCAACGATCCCCTTTGGGTGCCTTGACCTGCGCAATGTAGTGCCCGCTATTGGGACTATTGCCGTGGTGATGAATTACAGCAAGGAGATTGTACCTCTGACTCTGTCCCTGAGCAGCTTTCGAGGCTGCACTGCCTTCCGACATGTGGCGCGGGGAAAGCACGAGCTTCTGAGGATAGTCTACGAGCTTGGACATCTTGCTTCCAAAGATGGTGAACCTCTTGAGATGCACAGTGAGCACAGTGGGCGCCTCATCTATCGACATTCGTTTGGTAGCATCTACCCTCTTCTTGCACCCTTCGCACAAATAGCGACTATTTCCCTGCGCATGTATCTGTTCCGTCCTTGTAAACGCATCGAGCGCGCTTTGCAACGTCGAGCCCCCGTTGCGAATGTCGACGCTGATGTCCAGCAGTGGATCAAAGGTATCGGAGTTGTGATGACATCTGAGACAAGTCACCCTGCTGCGCAACCTTCCGCCAAAGATCTTGTGAACAAGCGTGGTGCGATTCAACGGATCTTCTGCCTTGCTGCGAGCGAGCCGGAAATTGCGCAACAAAATCAACAAAAGCCCAAGCAGCGTCATCAGTCTCAGCGCGCGACGGACTGCAAACGCGGATGCCTACTCACAGCTTTCCCGCTGCCCTAACTAGACAAGCGGCTTGCATGGCCTCTAGCAGAAACCTCAAAAATTCGTGCGCATCCTCCTGACATCCCCTCCTAAGCGTCTTGGCGTACGACTTGAGCTTCTGATGAAATTCGGAAGGAGCAGATGTTTTGCGCTGGACAAGGATCCTACGCGCTACATCTTGCATCGCTTCCAGCGCATCGAAAGGACGCGTAGCACCTCCCAGCGGACCGCGAAGCTGTGACAAATCGTGCTCCAGTAGCGTGTATGCGAGAGGAGGAATATGCACCAAGGATTGCAAGACGGAGTTGAGGTAGCAGGTGTTGCCTTGATCCGGATGACACGGAGGTGGAGCAAGTGAGCAAACAGAACGATCCATCCAGAAGCGGCGGGCATGGACCCCCTGATGCTCACCAAAGTTGTGCAATCCTGCCCCCTCAGCACCGACGGACCCAGGCATCTTGAGAGATAACTTGTGGGCGTACAGCTCCTTTGCGCTCCCACCCAACGACCTCGAGGAAGGCGTGCCGCGGGGAGACGCATGTATGCGCTCGCTCTCCTCGTCTGAGAGCTCCGACGCTGTCCGTGAGCGCTTGCGGTTGGGCGTTGGTGATGACTGAAGAAGCGGCGGTAGAATGGAGCCAGTTCAGGCTGCAAGCCACTTTGTGGGGAGCATCCGCCAAAGAATCGACACTCACCCTCGATGGACCCGCTTCGCCATACCCTGCTGCCCCGTTTGCCCGCTTGTCATTGACCTGCCCATTGTGCACGCCATTGATAGGCGTATATTTGACAGCTCTCTGCTTGAATTCGGTAGTCTGGAAGCGTATGGGGTTGCTGAGCAGCTCTTGCAGCTCCGACTCTAGCCTTTGACGTTCAGCCGCTTCCACGACAGAAGTGAATGTCGGCTTGACGCGCTCTTCCTTGGTTTGAGTGGGAGTGTGAGTCTTTGATGGGTCCGAAGCGAGTTGCTCAAAGGGACGCTTGACAGAAGCTGGACTGCTTCGCTGAGAGGGAGGGGTCTGCAACGCCTTGAGCTTGGCGAGAGCGCTCTCGCTCGCCTTGTTGGACGTGTGCCGAGGCGTGGAGGGTCCACTGACCGCTTGACCATGTCGTGCGCCACTGCTGCTGGCTTGCAGCTGGCCTGCAAACGCCATCACACTCGTCTGACTCATCTTCGCGTGCTTGGTGCGCGCACAGATAAGCCCGAAAGAGTGTGAAGGTGTGAAGCGGTGTCGCACGATGCGCAATACTTGCGACTCCACTTTGAAAGGGACTAGACGCGTTCGTCTAAGGCAACGCTGCGCGATGCATTCGACTCGGGGGAAAGAGGACTCGAGTGGGCGCGGTTCGGCTCGGGCTGGCACTGACAATGAGGGGCTAGAGGTCTGATACTGGTTGGAGAGGGGGTATGTACTGAGTGCATTTGTAGTTGGAATGGGGCGATGGAAATGAGCAGGCGCGAGGCTTGGCTATTTGAATTTCCTCCGAGTCTTCGGATCAACCTCGAACGCGTGCATCGCGGCTCGAAGTTTTTTTTTTTTCTTTTGTGTGCTGCTTTCTTAGCGCGTTCCGCGTCGAAATGGGGTCTACAAACGATCCCGGCGGTGTACGGTAAAGCAAGTCATTCAAATTAGAATAATCTCAAGCAGGTCTCCATAGATTCAAGTTAGGTCTATTTAGATCTAATGTGGGTCTCCTTGGTCTCCTTGTGTCTACTTGGATCTAATTCAGGTCTACTTGGAACTAACTTAGTCCTCATTAGATCAATTAGATCAAATCAGGTCTGCTTAGATCCATCGCCGATCGAGCCAAAGCGTCCATATCGATCCACGACTCCACTTTGACTCTTCTCTCTCAAACACACAATTACAAATCCAAGATTCAAGAGCCACGATCAAAACTTTTCATCCAGATTTTCGCATCTCGCGGAAAGGCGCGCGCGGTGGAACGCGTTTTGCCCGCGGGGTCGCGGTGTATGATGATGCGTGCACGCGTATATCTGAAGCCCGCGGCGGCCGCCCAAGCGCGAACTTTATACCGGATTCGTGATTCACGTGATTGGTGATTGCTGAACTCGTGACTGAATCTCCATCACGCCGAGTCCCTCAACGTGTGCACACTTCGTACCTGGCCGACTCGCTCATGCGCGATCTGAAGGCACTCGAACATTCAAGTGAGAATTGACCAAGAATCTATATGCAAGTCTATGATTGAATGGTGTACACACGCGGACGTCTGGGGTTGGAACGTGCAGGGGTTGCATGAGTGGGGTGCGGACAGGTCGGCTTGAGGAGAGGGTCCTATTCGAAGCGAAAGGGGAGCAGAGCAGCCCGAGCGGAAATTCCACAGAGAGCTCGCTCTGGTCTTCGCCTCTACTTGATAGCGAGCTTGCTCCGTCTTCTAAGTGCCGGGCCATACTTTGAAAAGTAAAAAGGAACAGGAGAGACGAGGAGGCAAAGGCCTCCCAGTATGGAGCACATGTAGGGTACGCTCCACTCGAAAGCGGGCCGACCGAACAATGGGCAAAAAGCGCCAAAGGAGGATCTGGAGAGCGCAGCTGCGGCGAGTGCGGAAGCGACGTAGCTGAGGTAGCATTCGCTCACATAGACTCCCAAGCTATTGAAAGCAAAGATCAAGCCCAGTCCGAGCGGGATCTCGGCAATCATGGGCACGATCCAGTGGATGTTGGGAGTGCTGGTCCAGCCGAACATGAATAGACCAATGGCGAAACACGGCGCGGATAGGCACGTCATGCTCAGCCGCGCTTCTGGAACTGGCTTGCCTGCAGCTTGTCGTGCTCGAAGGTACCGCTTGTTGTAGTGTGCGACGACGGGAAAGGAGAGGACCATGCCGACGGCCAAGGGTAAGAAAGACAAACCGACTTCACCAGCGTTGAAACCGTGCATCTTTCCAAAGACCACCGGAAAGGCTTCCAGGTATAGAAAGATGAGACCGCTGTTGAGCGACGAGCGCGAGCGACGAAAGAGGCAAAATGTGAGCGAGCGCTCGCGTCTGATCTTTTGCTGCGGGCAAGCAAGGTGACGCGGGCGTCGGCATGCAGCTCACTATGAGAAGCCCATCCAGGCAGCGGTGTACATGACCGGAGGCTCCGTGACGAGCATGGTAAGAGGTCTGAGCATATGCGTATGAATCACATCCTTGACCTTTAGCGGTTCCTTTTCCAGCGGCGCGCGAATCAAGTCGTCGCCCGTCGTTTGGCGCAAAATGGAGGCCCTACGAACGACCAAGACGGGAACGTAGGATTCTCGCTGAAGGATCAAGCAGAGCGACCAGAATACCATAGCCTGGATACACATCAACCAAAAGATCCATCTCCAGGCATTCGCATCTGCCAAGAAGCCTCCGACCTAGAAGATGTTGGCAATTCGAGGAATGAGCCCCCAAGCGGTCCTGCCTTCGGTCCCACCTGCACGCCACACTTTCTGCACTCACAATGGGACCGAGAATGGGCCCGAGAAAGGCAGAGAATGTGTAGCTCATCATCGGAGCGACCCTCTCCCTCGGTTCAAAGACGTCGGATATCCAAGCGCCAGAATTCGATGCGGGTGCTGAGCCGCAGAGTCCAGCAAAGCTGCGAGGTAGGGATGTGTGGAAGAGTAGGAGCGGTCGGGTGCGGGGCGGGGCGGGAGACGTCGCGGCATCAGCAAGTGACGATCTTCTTCTCCCTGCCTGCCAGATCTGGCGCCCCGCCCTTTTCCCCCCGCTGGCCATCTTCGATTGCGGCTTTCGCGCCCACGAAACTTACAAGCGCATGACTATAAGCGTCTGTTTGTTTGGCGCGAGGGCGCAGCCTACGTTCCAACACGTAAAGAGTGGTAGGCTGAGCAGATTGACCATCTTTCTCCCTCTTCTTTCCGAAAGGGGCGCCCAGATGCTCGGTCCTGTGCGCAAAAGTGCGAGATGCGTCGATGTGTCAACATGTGCTCTTGCTTGTCTCGTGCTCTTGCTCGTGATCGTGATCGTGATCGTGATCGTGATCGTGATCGTGCCTTTCCCTAGCGCTTCCTCTGAGACCAAGCGAGACCGATGACTCACCAAACACCAATCCAGCAAGGTACACGCTAGTCACTGCGCTTCCTTGCAGACTAGTCATGCCCAGATCCGCAACGATCTTCTCGTATGCCCCGCTGGGTGCGCTCGCGGCAAAGCCCGTGTTGAAAAAGACAAGGGCGGCCAGTATGGTGTAGGTCCACTTTGTGCTCTTGGGCAATCGCGTGGGTAGCTGGTCCGTGGGCAGCGAAAGCATCTCGGCTCTTTGAGTCGTTGTGGATCGCTTCAAGGCTGTTGCGGAGCATGTCGTCAAGCCTGCATCATCCGAACGATGCGCCTCGCCCTCTCCTTTGCGCGATTCGAAAGCCGACAGACCCTTTTCTGTGTCTTGCTGCTGCTGCTGCTGCGCTTCTGATCCTTTGCTCTTCTCGGTGGTGGTGGAGTAGAGGGCATGGGCAGGTGAAGGTGCCCTGGTGGTCGTCTGCGACTCGTAATACGAGAAAGGAGTGTCACTTCGTCTACTTTCGCATGCCAAGGGTGAAGGAGACTTGGACACGGTGGGCGTGTCTGACGGGTGCTGGTGGACATTCGCCTCGCCATGCGCACTCGCACTCGCACTCGCGCTCGCGCTGACATGTGATGCGGGAACATTCACATTCACATTCACATTCTGCAGCATGCTGGAACGCCTTTGGCTCACTTCAGGTGTTTGTCGACCGCTTGATGGCCCATCACCTTGCGACGAACTCATGGCTGGCAAGCTTGCCAAGACTGATCGAATCGAATCGACGCCAGATGTGCGATCTAACTCGCTGTGCGTTGCTTCAAAGGATAAGCAAAGGAGGCAGGATGTCCGGAGTCAGAGTAGGGAGGAGGATGATGATGGGTGTCCGAGCATCAGTCCCTCCGCGCCAACAATCAACCAAAAAGTCTCTTCTGTCTCTGCAAGTTCCAGCTCTTGCCCCGATGACGATCGATCGAAGTCGCCGACTCTTTCGAGGAGGAAGCAAGCAAGCAACATGCGCGCTGCCACATCACGTTCACATGTACGCTAACCGTGTCAACGTTTACGGTCCATCGTAGGCAAGAGATTCCGAGGTTGCAGCTAGTGGATGCGAGATCCGTCCACAATTGGTCCACGCTTGGGTAAGGAATCGTGAATGTGAGTGCCTGGGTTGCGTATGCCAGCACGAGCACGGTGTGTAGCTAAATGCAGCGACTGATTAGTGAGTCCAAAAAGTTCCATCCATTCATGCAGCAAGCAGCCGTCGGCAAATCATCGGAGCTGCATTTGATTGTACGCTTTCAAGATGTGAGAGTCAGATGAGTCTATCAATCACGAATCACGAATGAGTCGATCTGATGTGGACGGGGTTTGTACATGAAAACAGGCAGAAGAGTTTCGAGTTTCGAGTTTCGAGTGCGGGTGGCCCGTGATACGCCGGTGCATTCACATTCGTGATTCAAAGATTCTTAAGATTCACATTCTCGATCGAGGTGCGAGTCAAAGTGCATGAAACAGCTATAGGCTTGCAGCGGCGAGTCGGCGCTAGGCTTTAGACATCAACGCCGATCAAAATCAACGGTCAAGAGTCGCGCGCGTGAGTTCTGAGTTCGGAATCTTCACATCTTGAATTAGAACCTCGAATTTGAACAACAATCAAGTGAATTTGATCTCCATCCCATCAGCCGCTGCATGCATGCATGCATGCATGCGCGTATGCACGGTGACATGTCTGCGATCTCTGCACCACGAAACTGAATTTGAATCTTGAATGTCGTCGGCATGCAATTTTGATCATGAATCGAATCTTGAATTAAATAGAATCTTGAACATCAAGAAGTCTTCAGTCATGAGTTCACAACAAATCAATCACGTCAAGGTGAGTCTCGAAGCGACCAGTCTTGAATCTTGAAATCAGCATCTGAAATCAAATGAGATCTTGGATGTCACAAATGGATGTCCTTCAGCATCTCCAGTCACACGACGACAGACTCACCACAATGTCACAAATGGATGTCCTTCAGCATCTCCAGTCACACGACGACAGCCTCAAAATTGTGGTGAGTCTGCAAGAACAACATTCCACACTCGGTGGTGAATGAACGAAGCGATCGGGACATCCATCCATCCAAGATCGTATGCATGCTCGGTGCAACCATCTCAATTTCAATCACGTGAATGGAAGAATACAAGTGTACAGATCCATCATGATAGACTCGACTCAAGACTTGCACAGCCGCTGACCGGCATCGCATATAGCCCGACATCCGGAAAGGCGGATCTACGCGTCGACGATCGATCGTTGCATCGCTGCCTGCAGCTTGATTGTGCACTTTTGCCTGACATGGGGTCACGTGAGCTCATCTTTGATCCGCGCGCGGAGCGCACGGAGCGCATCCTCCTCGTGCTGGGTTTGCTTTTTTTTTGTTCGGGGGTTCGCTAGGATGAGCATGTGCCACAGTCATGAGTCTTGAGTCTTGAGTGGTGAGTCAGGGTCCTGAGTCGCAATCTTGAATTGAGGGTGCTGGGCAGGGTCTCGTGACAAGAAAAGAGACGCTGTGACTCAAAGTTGATTCAAAGATTCAAGCTGGATTCACGATTGTGACAATCCTCATGACCTCAGACTCGATTGTCCCGCCACGTACCTCTGCGAGTCCCCGTGTCATCAGCAGGCTCCCTCCACCTTGCTGACATTACACGCACGCACGCACGCACGACTGCGATTCGGCGAGCAAAGACTCCAGACTCCCACGGGACTCACACCACATCACATTACGGTCTTGACGAACTTTTGTAGCTGTCCCATCTTTTTCGCAAGCGTTCGCCGTGTCCAGCCATGCAGCCGGCTGTGGATGCGACTGCGACTGCGACTGCGACTGCCAGCAAGAGCGCACAGCAGGCGGCGAGCCAGCCAGTGACTTCCTTGCCACCACCACCACCACCACCACTACCACCACCTACCACAGCTCACAGCCGACTGCAATCAGAGGACATCTACATCTCCTCATCCGTCCAAAGATTATCCCACGTGGCCGACTGCACCACACTGCACCTCGATGATGCAAAGGGAGAACAGACAGCCTTGCCAGTGCTCGCTTTCGCTTCGGATAGAAGAGTCGCCATTTGCTACCCTACGCCCAGTGTGAGTGATGATGGACGCTTGTTTGCAGGACGCGCGAAAACGGAAGAGTAGGGCGTGCCCTTGCAATCTGACCACTCGCTCACGCCCCCCCTGCTTGCTTGCTTGCTTGCTTGCTGCATAGGCACTATCGACGCATACACTCCTACAACGACTACCAAGCCCCATCTCCGTCCTCAAATTCGCTCACAATCCCGCTCACCAAGCCGCGCCTCTTCTTCTGGCTGGTCTGACAGATGGTCACGTGTTCATTTGGCAAGCGTGGAGGAGCAGATATGGCGATGAGAAGCTGTGCAGGTTGTCGGATCAGGAACAGCTGGTGCCTGCGCATGCTCGAGCAGTCAAATGGTCCTGCGTAGCTCGAGCAAAGAGCCACTCTCCCATCAAGGCGCTCGCTGTCCACAGACCCGCACAAGCAACAGTCAGCATCGGCAGCGCCGCTGCTGCGAGGGAGAAGGCGAAGAGCGACAGTGTAGTGCTGGTCACTGGCCACGCCGACTCTTCTTTGCGCGTATGGAGAGCAGCTCGTACAGATGCCTACGCTCCAGCTTCAGCCGAGCATTCTGATGAGCCTGCTCCGATCCAACTGGCACAAGGGCAAGCTCTGCAGCTGCAAAACGTGTCTTCGAGCTACAAAGCATCGCCTCTACCCTTGGATGCTGCGCTTGTACACGTCGATGAGAACACGGCTCTGCTCGCAGTGGCTTCCACAAGCAGCACGATCGCAATCTTTGGCTCGGTATCAGGAGAGGTGGGTTTGTGGGGTTGGGGAACAGTCTTGGGCTTCGCATCGCCCGCTTCCAGAGAGTACTGAAGCCCATTCGCCTTCGTCTCTTTTCGCAGTCTTTCGTGCCGCTGTGCGATCTTTCGGGACATACGGACTGGGTCAGATCGCTAGATTTCGTCCAACCTCGCCAGACCTCAAAGACCCTCTTGCTCGCTTCGGGAGCTCAAGACGGCTCCGTGCGTCTATGGAGATTCTGCTCCGCCGAAGACGCGGGTGCTTCCAGCTCCGAGGCTGTTGCGGAGAAGAGAGAGGCAGCAGCGCCACAGCAGCTGGACGCGTTCGATCAGTTGGCATCCAAATTGGAGAGCAATTTCAGCGCGCAGCCTAAAAGAGCTCGGGATCTGGTCTCCGCTTCGCAAAACTTTGTTTTGGGCGAGGAGAGGTGGAGAGCTAGATTGGATGCGCTCTTGGCTGCGCACGAAGGATGGGTCACTTCTGTTCGATGGGCTTCGTCGGCTCCTGTGCATGCTGGCGCGCGCGCACAATCTTCGACAGAGAGGGGGGCAGGAGCGTACGCTGCGCTCTTGTCCTCCAGCGCCGACAATAGTGCAATTCATTGGGGACCAGCTAGTGCACTTGCCAGCGCCGTCGATCAGCCTTTGGCTCGATTCGAAGCATCCGAAAGGACAGGCGAAAGCGAAGAGGACCAGTCGTGGATGCCCTTGCATCGTTTCGGAGACTTGGGCACTCAAGGTACCGTCTCTTTGGGTTTGATGGGCGCTCTTTGGCTCCCTGAGCGAGCGTTCGCTGCGAGCGCTTCGGATGACGCTCCATCGAACGGCACTTTGAGGAATAGCGGTAGCGCCAACGTGGGCAAGGATGTGATCACGTACGGATGGAACGGGTCTTTCAGACGCTACGTGGTGCGCAAGGAAGAAGAGACCCATGCGAGCGCATGGCGAAACGTGTTTGCTCCGGCTGGACATTGGCAACGCATCAATGCGGCAAAGTGGGAGCCGCAAGGCAAGTACTTTGCCACCGCTAGGTGAGGGTGGACCCCCCACGTTCTTGTTACGCGAGCAACCGAGCGATAATTTTGCGGGGCGCTGACTCTTGCTGGTTTGCTGTCAGCGACGACCGGACCACGCGCATACACGCCCGAGTGCGCATCGCACGATCCGCTCAGAAGTCACGCTCGGCTTGGCACGAAATTGGTCGACCGCAGACGCACGGCCATGCGATACGTTCCTTGGCCTGGCTGGACCGCTTCGCATTGGCTTCTGCAGCGGACGAAAAGGTGGTGCGGGTGTTTGAGAGCACGAGGGGGTTCGTGCAGAGCATTGCGAGGCTCGGATGTGCGCGAGGTGCGAAGAGGAGCAGCTCGGCCGTACTGCTCGTTCGACTGGGAGACGTCAACACGACGGATGTGTCGCGCTTGAAAGAGGCGATCGAAAAGGTCGCGCAGCTTGCGACGACTTCGCAAAAAGGCCGACTGATCATCTTGTTGAATTCGCCTTCGTTTGAAGGCCTTGCTCAAGGGAGACCCATCAAGGCGTCGTTCGAAAAGGTCGAAAGCTTGCTCAAGGGCGTTTATGCCCTGGCTTGGGCTGTGGCGGTGCAAAAGGAACGTTTGGATGCGCAGATCGATGTGCTCTTTGCGGAAGATGTGCAGGTGCGAAGGAGCCGTCGCATGGCGCTGAGCCTGTGCCAGACGGAAACGCTGCATGTTCTGGACGGTGAGTGGCGGCGCGCGCGCGGAGGTTTTTTATTTCCTTTGGGAGAGGGGGCAAATGGTGGGGGATGTTGTTGTTGACCCATTTGGGTATTCTTGCTGCTCTCACAGACCGACCCGCTCCGCAGCGCGATGACTTGTCGCTCGACTTTGCCGAGCACATGGAGCGCATTCCTGCTCCTGCTCGGCAAGGTGACCAGGAAAAAGGCGAACAATCTGGCGAAGCGCTTCACACCTTTCCGCAGTACCGCAATGTGGCGATGGGAGGGACTTTTGATCACCTGCATGTAGGGCACAAGATCTTGCTGAGCATTGCTGCGCTGCTCAGTCGAGATCGACTCATCGTGGGAATCACGGGAGACAGCATGTTGTCAAAGAAGGCCAATGCGGAATTGTTGGAGGACATCGTGGAGAGGGTGGAGAGGGTGAACGAATTCTTGAAGAGGTTCAGGTATGGACAACCGCCCTTGGAGAGGTTCGTCAGGGAACTAAAAGATGTTGCTGGACCTGCTGGGACGGAGAGGGATTTGCAAGCTGTGCTCACCACGGACGAGACGATTTCCGGAGGAGATTTCATCGACAAGATTAGAAGGGAACGCGGGCTTTGCGAGGTGCGAAGAGAAGTGATCGGTGTGATTGGCGCGCAGGGCCAGACGGATGTCAAGGGCGATGCAAAGGAGCTGGCTGCTAGCAAGATTGGAAGCACGGCCATCCGAGCTTGGTTGGCCAAGCGAAAGGACCAAGAAGATGCGACGTTGGCTAGACGTGAGACATCATCGGATGAGGAGGAGGAGCAGGACGGGGAGGAGGAGGAATTTTTGCGCTGCTGCTCTGCGACCGAGCAGGACAGACCGGTCGGGGCTAGCGTACCCCCGCTCGGTCTGTCCAATCGAGCTCTTCGATCCGTCGAAGAGGACATTCTCGAACCTCCATCAGCGTCCGGTCAGGATGTGGGCAAAGCGAGGATCTCCTTGTCCTCTGCATTTGCCCATGCTCCCACAGAGGAAGAATTGCACGCTACGACGCTCTGGCCAGAGGTGCACAAGTTGTACGGGCACGAATTGGAGTTGCTGCAGATGGACTGCGTCGAGATGGATGGGGCGAGATGGATCGCTAGCTCGGCTCAGGCAAAGAGCGTCAAGGATGCTACGGTCAGGATACATCGACACTTTGCGGCAGAGGCGCAGGGTCAGCCTTCTAATTGGCAAGAGGTGCATCGATTGGAAGGACACTCGTTGGGCGTCACGGCCATCGCATTTAGTCCCAGCAGTCCTGATGACGAACGCGCGCGATACTTGCTAACCGCGAGCAGAGATCGGACGTGGCGACTCTACGCTAGGGAAATGGTCGAGCAAAAGGCCGCCACTTGGAAATTCGTCGCCGAGTCGGGCAAAGCTCACACGAGGATCATCTATGGCGTATCGTGGGCACCGCAAGCCTTGCAGCAGCAGCAGCAGCAGCAGCATCGCGCTGGAGCCACACTGATCTTTGCCACGGCTTCGAGGGACAAGACGGTCAAGATTTGGAGGTTGAGCATGCAAACTGCCTCCGTCGAGCTCTTGCAAACTTTCAAGTTGGCTCATGCTTGTACCAGCGTCGCTTTCCACACATCTCTGATGCTGGCTGTAGGATGCGAGAATGGCGATGTGGTCCTACTGGGTCCGCTCGAAGCTCGACGTGAGAAGAGGGAAAAGGATGCGCTGGGGCCGGGTAGGGAGTGGGAGGTCAAGGGAACGCTTTGGGAACATCATGCGGATGCTGTGACGCAGCTCGCTTGGAGACCTTGCGATGAGCCTGCTCGCCACACTCTACTTTCTGCTGCTGATGACGCCGTCGTTCGCCTATCCCTCGTCTATGTAGAGTAAGCACCCTTGGTGCAACCTTGCTCGAATCAATCGTTTGGGCGTCTGAATGATTGCTCATTCGCTCGACGCGGTGTGTAACTCTAAGCCTTTATACAACCCGGAAACCCTTTTGAAGCTGAGCTTGAGGACTTGCGTCGTCTGCCGACAGTGTCGGATGAGGACTTTGCCTTGCCGGAGGGTTGGGAAAAGAAAGCCCGGTGTACCTGCACGACTTGTGTCTGGCGCAGGGTGTGATGGCTGCCTGCTGCATTTCCTCGACAAGATTCCTCATTCACTGGCCATGAATGTCGATAAGCGACGTCTTGAGAGGATGTGCAATTCTTGTCTTTCTTGTTGCCTTTGTCACGGCCAGCTATGGACCCTAGCCCAGATGCTTACCTGCACCGTGCTTGCTTGCTTGCAGAAACGTGGAGTAGAGGCCGGACGGTAGGTGTGCCACTTCTTTAGGCGCTGGAGCCTTGTTGAGAAGCTCGAGAAGAAGATTCAAAATTGACGGGAAAGCGCAGACGTAGGCAGATTGTGATGAGAGCGGGCGAGCGAGCGAGCGGGCGGGCGGAGTCCGAGTCAGTGTCAAAAGACCGTGGTGGAGCGTCCTCTCTCATCAGGTGCCCATCCTTTCATCCTCTTCATTTTTCTCAGCAGCATCGTCCTGCCTAACCCCTCTGCGAGCTCCTTGTTGCACCTCTCCAACTATCGCATCGTCTACCGGCATGGAATCATCTTGCTCTTGCCCCTGCTCCTGCTCCTGTTCTCGGTCCACTTGACTTGTACTCCCATCCTCATCCCGCACGCCTTGAGACCTGGCATGCTCCGAAACTCTCCGAACAGCTGTAGCTGCAGCCGCAGTAGCACTTCCAGCTGCGATCTTGCCTCTGCCAAGGGGCAAACCGGAAGCCTTTTTGAGCGCACGAAGCACGCCCGCTTGAGCTCTTTCTTCGTCTGTAAATTTGGGTCGACCAGGTTGCTTTTTGGTCGGAGCTATTGTTGTTGCTGCTCCTGCCCCTTCCCCTGTCCCTGCCCCTACTGCTGCTCGTGCTTCGGCGGCCGATGATGATGCTTTTTGCAAGTGGGCTACGCTGGAGCTTCCGGCCTGTTGGCGAGGCGGCGGTAAGGGTGGATTCGCTGGCCCCTCCCCCTCCTCCTCACGAGAAGACTTGAGCTCCGAGGCTGGACTGAGAAGAATGTGCGAAGTGCTGCTGGAACTGCAACGCAGCGGCGCTTCGAGATTGCTAGAGGCAGACAAGTCGATGGGTCGCACGGTTCGCGTCTTGGCTCCGCTCGGTGCTGAGATGAGCACAGCGAGGGTGTTTGTAAGCTGATCGAGTGTCCGATACGAAGCTTATGGAGGCTTATGCTTTGATGATGATGAAGAAGAAGAAGAAGAAGAAGAAGAAGAAGATGATCGCAGGACTCACGCTTCTGTACGCTAAAGAGCAACTCTGTACCCAACAGCTCGTCCCACTTGCCTACGAACAATGTTCCTCCGATGCGCACCAGCGGGGTCGACGTTTCCAGACCCTGCGAGCAGTTCGGGAAAGAGGCGGTGGAGGTGGAGGATGAGCGACGGCAGTAGACGACAAGAGGAGACGCGCAAAAGGCGGAACTTACGGTGAGGGACACCTCTCTTGCGCTCTTTAGCAACCTTCCCGCATCAGGTCCGACATCCATCACCACCAAATGCTCCTCCTCTTCGTACTCCCACTCCCACTCGTGCTCTTCATTTTGTTTCTGCTGCTCCTGCTCCTGCTCCTGCTCCTGCTCCTGCTCCTGTTCGTGCTCCTGTTCCTCATACTCGTGCACCTCGTCGTTGTCGCCTTGCTCAGCACCCTGCGTCAAGCTCTGCTGCTGCTGCTGGACTCCCTCGGGAAGGGATGAGAATGCCTCGACTCGCTTGTGAGAGGATGTGAGGAGGTGAGGAGGAGGAGGAGGGAAGGGCTTGGGCAGAGGAGCGAGGGGCATGCTTGGGCTTGCGCTCTGAACACAATCCTCGCCTCGCCTTTTGCTTTTATTCGTGCGCGTGCGATGCGCGAGTCACGTTATACCTGCAGTTGCGAGGCGAGGTGCGACGGTGAGGATGGATGGATGGATGGATGGATGGATGGATGGATGTGCGTGCTGCCTGGTGCGAATCTGAATGGACTGGGAGCAAGCTGATTGTCCGTCTGCGCTCGGCCCTTGTCGTTGCGCCTCTTGTGCTGGCAAATCGCTGATCGCTGATTGCTGATCTGATCGCTCGGCCTGAAGCGTAAATGTGGGTGCGCTATACAGCGTGCAAGGTGGTTGTGAGCGAGGAGCGGCACGGCACGACACGGCACGGGTTTGCATGCTGGGAATCACGAATCGCTGATCATCGAACTGAATCGTGAATGTGAATATTGATGTGATTCACGATTGAATGCAAATCAAGAATCAAGAATCACAATCACGAATCATGATGGCAATTCAAGATGAGCAGCTCAGCACGGACCATCAGCAGCGGAAGCACGAAGCAGCAATCTTGAATCTTGAATGTGAATCGTGAATTTGATGAATCAATTAAAAGCAGCATCGTTCGCTTGTTCGCTTGTTCGCTCGACGTGCAGCAGCCGTGCCGTGCACGTGATCTGCCGCCCGCCAGCTTTGCTTCCTGTTCACGTGATCCCCTTCTTGGACCCCCCCGCACATGCAGCATATGCATGGGCCTCAATCAGACACAGCACTCAATCACCAATCGTGAATCAAGACTTTGACTGCCTCCCAGCTCCAATCCATCCCAATCATCCTTGTCCACCGTTCCACGTCGCACATTTCATTCACGATTGTGACTCACGACTCTTGGCTCGTTCAGCAAAGATGTACTGGCCCACTGCCACTGCCCAGAGGTTGCACCTCTCTCCTTGCATCCCCACATCCGCGCCCGCCCAAGCCGATTCTTCCTCTTCCTCCTCCTCCTCCTCCGCCTCCTCCTCCTCCTCCTCCTCGTCGCACCTCATCGCGCTCGTACCATCACCCTCTCATCGCAGATTCATCAGCTCGGATGCCAGCACCATTCACTTGTGGACCACTCGTCCCGCACACTGTATAGCTGCGTTTGTGAGGACGCAGAGGAGCTTGGATCAGTATGGCCATAATGCAGGCGTCGTATGGAGGGATGAGGGCGCTTTCGCCGTTCTGGTGAGTAGCATACGCCCTCTCATCACATGGACCCTACGCTCTTTGCGGCCGTCTCTCGAATGCTTCACGCTCACACCCCCGCGTGCCGCGCATGGCGCAGACGACGACTTCCCACCTGCTGCTCTACACCATCCTTCCCCTCGGAGGCCCTCCATTCTCCTACCTCCCCTCCACAGGTCCCACCTCCAAATCCAAAGCTGGCGAATTCTACGCTCCCTCGTTGCAATCCCTCGGCAACAACTTTGCGGCGGGAGCTGGTGAGAGGACAAACGAGCTTCGCGATGCTGCAAACACGGATTGGGCTTGCGAAGCGTGCGAGATCAGGTTCAGATTGGTGCTCAGGGTAGATGCTGGCGTGAGCAGGTATGTACACAACTCATCACGTGCTCGCGTTATCCTAGCCTGCTCCTCCGTGCTCTCCTCGACTCACAATCCTCTGCCCTCACACTGCCCCCTTGACAGCTTTCAGAGCACACCCACCCACATCTTGCTCGCTACCCTTCATCCACCTTCTCTGCAATGCATTCCCTGGCCTCCCGATGATCCTTCCCATCCTCCCAATCACGATGCACCTCGAACCGCCCTCTTATCCCGTTTGGATTGGATCGTCCAGAGCTCTTCGGTTGATGGGCCCGCACGCGATGCGGAGGCGGGGCCAGAGGAGACATCGGGACGATCAGCTGCGGGTGAGCGAGCAAGCGAGCGAGCGAGCGCCGTGGCAGTAATCTCGCACTCGCTTGCATGGCAACCGAGCGAGCGCCCTTCTATCTGCTAGTCAAATGGCTCTGACTTTGGGTCTGTGCATCTCTTGCCCCCCACCCCCCACCCCCTTTATTCCTGGCAGTTCACGTCATTGCTCAGTCTTTTAGTGAGGAGCTAGCGACGCACGTGTGGATTACTTCCGACGGTCGAGCCTACCTTACCACTCTCACCTTTGACACCCGGGTGAGTTCAGACAGTTGGGCCTCGACGCCACGCGCTTGTCCCCGCTTGGCTAAACCATCGCGACTTCCATTGCGTTTTGCATCACGTCAAGACGGCGATTTGGCGCGGCAAATGTTTTCATGGGCCCATTCGATCTCGTCGAAGGTCTGCAGCTGGTAGGAGCGTCGCCTCCATGTCGGAGGAAGGGGGCGACGGATCGACGATGGATCATGAGCGGGACAAGAGTGCCCAGACTGATGTCGAACAGGCAGGAGGAGAGGAGGGGGCAGAAGAAGACGAGCCGGAGATTTCCCCGCCTATGGGTGCCCTGTCTCGCGGTACGGCTATCGGTATCAACGGTGCCTTTTCGCTCATAGCTATAGGTCTGTCTGGCGGATCGGTAGCAGTGTACACCTATCATCCCCACTCGGCAAAAGCTAGACCTTCTCACATGCTCAGCGTCAGAACGGCACTCAAGAGCACCGCTAGTTATCTCACCACGGGGCCGGTCAAGTCTTTGCAGTGGACCGAGGATGGGCATGCGCTGGCTGTTGCTTGGGAGAAGGGTTGGGCGGTGTGGAGCACGTATGGCAAGCTGATGGCTTGCAGTCTGACAGAGGGCTGGGAGAATGCGTGAGTTTGCAAATCACCCCAGGGTGATGGAATGACAAGCTGCATGGCGGCGCAGTGTCTGACGCTTGGGCAGCCTTGTACAAATCTTGCACCTGTGATGACAGCTCGCGCACATTTACGGACCACTTTATGCGGGGCGTGCAGTCTGCTTTTTGGGGCCCTGGGAGCTGCGACCTTTTCATGCTCCATGTTCCTTCTGACGATCCTACACCCACGAGTGCGTCTCAAGGGCTTGCCTTGCCTGCAAAAGAGCTCAAGATGGTCAATCCTAACAACCCTCCTCGCCCTTTGCAACTCTTCTGCCCCGCTCTTGGCGCGCACACAGGCAGGGATGGGCAATTATTTGCGCTACCCTTTGCAAAGAGCGCAATGGCTGGGCAGCACTCGCCCGATAATACGAGGTACGCCTTTGTCCAGCTCGATGATGCGTTGCTGGTCTACAGAGGTAGCGAGAGACCAGACATGAGCATCATCAATCCCGAATCGGATGTCTGGCAGCATGTCAAGGTGCGCCAAACGATACCTGCACCTCGCGAAACGCTCCTGACCCTTGGAGACACCCGTTTCGCTGCCCACGCAGATACCTCAAGCTTACATGGCGGCCAATTGGCCGATCCGATACGCTTGCATCAGCGCTGATGGGCGACTCATTGCCGTCTCTGGTCAAAGAGGGCTAGCGCACTTTAGCACGCTATCGGGACGGTGGAAAACGTACTCGAACAAATCTCAGGAGAGGGCGTTTGCAGTGCAAGGAGGTTTGCAGTGGTATCAGCACGTGCTGATCGCAGCCGTGGTGACCGAATCATCGACGTTCGAAATCCGACTGTATTCAAGGGATTCGGATTTGGAAGACGCCAGGATCTTGTTCAAGGAGCAATTGGAAGCACCTGTAGTGCTCACGTGCCTCTTTGATAATAGTCTCCTGGTATACACCCACGACAATACCTTCTTTCACTACCTCATCGATACGGAGCAGGACGATATCAGACTCAAGTTGTGCGGAAGCATCACGTTTGATGGCGTTGTTGCAGAGCCGTCTAGAGTACGAGGCATGAGCTGGATGGTTCCGCCTTCGCAGCAACGTGAGTCGTGCCTGCCGGCGAGCCGCCGCCGCCCTTGGTTCGACTATTTCTCATCCTGTGTGCGCGTCTTATTTCACAGAGTTTGGAGACCCGATGGACGACCTGACCGTGGCTACCGTCATTTTCCTCATCGACGGCAAACTCATGCTTCTGCGTCCCCGAAAGGTGAGTCGTGATCCGGCATGCTTTGTAGTCTCGACGCCGTAACGACCCAGAGTGACTAACGTGCTTCACGCGCCACTGCTCTGTCGCCTCTGTACGAATAACAGGCAGGCGAGGATCAAGACGAAGTGTCGTACGATATGCAAATCCTCGGCGATCGCATCGAGTACTACTGGACCCACTTGTCGGGTGTTGGTACACTGGAAAATTCTCTGTGGGGATACGACGGACATGGTATAAAGTTGTGGCTCGACGCGCTCACCATCGAGCAGGCGGAAAGGGTGGATGAGGAAGAGGACGAGGATACGCCAGAGTACAAGACGATCGAGGAGAGCGTCTCCATGCCTCTTGATTTCTATCCGCTATGTGAGTAGTAGACCGTTGCACGACGAACAGACTCGACGCCCCTTGTAGGCTGACCGACATGACCCTCTGATGTGCTTGTCTGTAGGCGTCTTGATCGAAAAGGGCATCGTCATAGGTGTCGAGCCCGAAGTATCTCTGCGACGCTCGCTCGACTTTACAATCTTTAGAAGCAGCACCACGACTTTGCTTTTCCTTCAGCACGTCTTGCGTTGCTACCTCGCGCGCGATCAGCTCTTGGAAGCCGTGCTCTTCGCGAGTCATTACAGGGACCTGGTATACTTTGCTCATGCGTTGGAAATCTTGCTGCATGCGGTGTTGGAGGATGAAGCGGATGCGTTGCTGGAGGAGGCCGAGCAGCGCGGATCGTCGGCTCCCTCCAGCCCAACTCGGAGACGCCCCAGCATCGCACCCGCCAATGGCCTACCTGCCTCATCGAGCATGGACAGCGCGAATGTCGCAGACACGAGCAGCGGTTCGGCCATCGTTCACCCTTCCGGCACGGTGAACGGTCATGATCTTCCCAATCGCGCATTACTGCCCGTAGTGGTGGCATTCTTAGATCACTTTGACGAAGCTCTAGAAGTAGTGGTAGGCTGTGCACGCAAGACGGAAGTTGCACGTTGGTCCTACCTGTTCGACGCTGTTGGTGCGCCTCGAGATCTGTTCGAGAGCTGCGTAGCAGCAGGCGATCTCAAGACTGCTGGATCTTATCTGCTCGTCCTGCACAACTTGGAAGCACTGGAAGAGAGCACGGCGCAAGCTATACGGCTGCTGAAGCTTTCCGCTGAAGCGCAGAATTGGACCTTGTGCAGGGACCTGCTTAGATTTGCTAGGAGCATGGACGAGAGTGGACAGACGCTCAGACAGGCTGTCAACGAGGCTAGACTGCTTCCCGAGCTCAGCTCCCTGTACGCCCTTCCTACTCGGTCCGACCACGATGGCGAAGTCACGCTGTTTGTGCCGCAATCTGTGGGCGGAGCAGGAGCACCTGCGATTAGCAGGGGTGCGAGAGCAGAAAGCAACATTCCCCCTCCTCTCAACCGGGTCGTATCCGCACCCTCCCTGCTCGACGAAGCGCTCCTCGAAGAGTCAGAAGGTGGCGACTCTTTAGATGGCGCGCTTTCCTTGCGCACGCCCACAGCGTCCGCTCGACCTTCCCTCTCGCCCACCTCGCACCTCACACCTCAGCGAGCCAACTCCCTGTTCGGCGTCGCTTCGGAAGGTCCACCGATTCCTCAAGTCAACGTCAATGGACGAGTCCTGCCTTCTGTCCAGCAGCAGCAGCAGCAGATACAACGCAGCGCCAGCAGCTCCAGCATGAGTGCCAGCACCAGCAACGGTTCTACCGCGTCCGCCTCGGCGAATTTGGCAGCACCGCACAAGACGCACCGCAGTGGTCGCAATGCGACGGGAGCTGGAGCGGGCTTGGGCATGTCTTTGAGTCGAGTCGGATTGAGGAGCACGGATAGACTTTGGGATCCGAGCACCAATAGCCCAGTCACTGGCAGAAGAACATCTACATCCACAGCATCGAGCGCGAGCGCAAATAGCTCGCCATCTCGGACAGCATCGACGGATCTACCTCTCCCCTCTGCAGATGGCCAAAACGAAAGGCAGGCTATAGCTGGTCCAGAGTAGACGCTCGAGGGCATTGCAAGGTCTTTTGCAAGGAGGTCATGATATTTTATTGCACCGCTACAATGATGCGCTGATCAAATCTCCAAAGTACCTGCATGGGGCGATGAATTTGAGCGCTCTCGAGTAAGGGATTGCGTCTTTGTACGGTGCGCAGGGCGTGGCACTCACTCTTCGTACGCATTTCCGACCTCATCGATGGCATCGTGAGCCAACATGCTCCTCTTTTTGCGCTCGAACGCTTTCCTGCTCGAAGCTCGAGCGATGAGCGCAGCTCCAAAAGCTGCCAAGAGCGGTCTCCTCTCCGCCTCGATACGATCCTTGTACGGCGAGACTTGAGCCCAGGCTATGAAAGTGCCCAGCGAGCCCGAAAGAATGTCGCCTTGGCCCCCGCAGCGCTTTAGCGAACCTGGTGCATCGACGTGCAGCACTTGCCTGTGCGGATGAATCAAGCGTGCACGTACGTTCTGTGAGCTGACTTTGGCAAGAGAGCGATGGGGGGGGGGGGGGGGGGCAACACTGTCATTCGACCCACTTTCCGTTGCTTATGCGGTCCACTTTGCCCTTTTGCAAGATGGTGCAGCCGAATTGTTTGGACAGCGCAACCACCGCATCGTCCGTGTCGGGATTGGAACGATCGACGTTCTGTACAGAGGGAGCCAAGCAGACTTGAGCGAACGCCGCCTCCCCAATGCCCCAAAAGAAAGCCAACGTTTCGCAATCGTTTGCAGCTCACCAGCGCATCGCACAGTCTACCGAATTCGACGACGTTGGGCGTCAAGATGGCGTTGTTGTAGCCCATTAGCAAATTGGGCTCATTCGACAACAACCAAAGCCCGTCTGCATCCACCACGATTGGCAACTGTTGAGATTTGGCAAGCTGCGGACGGTTGGGGGGGAGATGGTGCAGGTATGCAAGTTGGCGGATGTGCATACACTCTGCATCTTTTCCACCCCACCGACTCACTTGGATGGCTATCCTGCCAGCAGTCTGCATGTGCTTGTCCCTGCCCAGTCCCGGGCCCACTACGAGGGCGTGTAGTCTTCCCAAGATGGGTCTTAGCACATCCTTGAGCTGCTCGTCGTTTCTGCGTAGCGGCAAAGGTGGAACCTGAGCAGAATGGACATGGCTAGCTGAGATGCAAAAGAGGGGGGATGTGGGCCCACCCAACGCGCTCACTTTTCTTGTCCCAGCAAAGTCATGACGATGAGATCGGGAGAGTAAGTCTTGATGACGTGACCGGCATCGGGCGAGCAGATGTTGAAGGACATGTCGCAGCCCAAGCGCATGCTGGTCATTGCAGCAAAGAAAGGAGCGCCTGAATAATCTGCGCTTCCTCCCACAATGCCCACCCTGCCTGCTTGACCCTTGTGAGCTTCCGATGTGAGGGGAGGGATGAGGTTGCGCAAGTCTGAAAGTGCGCAAGGGTCGATTGCTGCTTGACGGGAAGAGTGCGATGACATGATGGGCAGAGAGGCTTTGCTGGGGGGTCGAGAGGCGGAATGCACCAGTCTGCTGCGAGGAAGCGCGAGAGGTGCAGAAGCGCAAGCTGGAAGAGTGATGGCCAAGGTAGAGATCAGGGCAGCTTCAAGGGGAGTGCGCGTGAGAGTGCGCGTGAGGGTGAGGGTGCGGGTGTTGGTGCAGCTTCGAATCATGGACGGGTAGCCGGCAAGGTGTTATATTCGACCAACGACTCGTCCAACTCTTCCTTGTGAGTCGGTCACTGGATGATGCCGCAGCAGGTCGGTGAGTGTGCTTCGAGCCAGCGCGTCCATCACGAGTGAAGGATGTGGAATGACAACTACGCACAGTCACAGTCGTGAATGCGAGTCTGACTCGCGCTGGAGGGCACGTACAGCTAACAGTCAAGTACCATCGCGAGCTTGGTCACCGTTCAGGGCCACGTCTGTCGGTCGGCCACATGTGGAGGGGTTGTACGTTCATCAACCGGGTCAACAGCGCATCACGTGACCTGCTAGGAATTAAAGGTAGGGAAATCACCACGCTTGAGACTGTCGTGAGTTTCAAGTCAGGAAAGACCTTGATGGTAAGTCGTTATGAGTACTGCACCTTGCACTCTCGCATGCGAAACGGACCCGCTCTATCTATCACCGTGGCTGGTGGGTGGGTATCATGCCGTGACAAAGGTGAGACAAGGGTTCGCGAGGACGACGATGCATTTGGCGATCCAGCCTGACACTCTGCGGACGCCGCTCAAAGACTCTCTACCCCTCTAGGCTCGTACGGCAAGCCAAGCATGAGGACGCTGGCCCCAACGAACAGGCTAGCCGAGACGAAAACGGGTGTAGTGGGAGAAGCGTCCGACCCGTAGGCAGCGATGAGCGGTCCGGTTATGCCAAAGATTCGCTGCACACCCATGGCCAATCCATCTCCCGTGCCGCGCGAATGGGTGGGAAAGACTTCGTAGGTGATGGCGTAGAGGATGCCGTACATCGCATTTTGAGACAGGCTGGCGCCGCAATTCCAACCTAATACGGCGCTGGGCGTACGAGCAGATGTGAAGCCGAACAAGCAGGCCCTACGAAGCATTCGTCCATGACGAGGGCGCCTGACGTCAGCGTCGTGCTGGTCTCAACTTGGCTCGTGATCAGCTCTTCGAGCAACTTTTCTGCACTCACCCAGTGAGCAACGTGAAGAATGCCATGGCAAAGCGTCTACCGAGATAGGGTAGCTCTACTGCGCCCGTGGCGATGATGCTACCTGGAATGCCCATGGCAGCGATGATGACAAGATCCCTGTACTGCTCCGCTTGGCTTTGTACTGGTGAAGAGGCGCTTCCCCCAACGGAGGAGATGTACAGGGCGATGAAGGCATTGTACAGCGCTGCAAGGTTGTGTGTGCGCGCGCTCTCCAGTACGTCAGTGCATGTCGAAATGAACCTCGGCCCTTCGAAGAAAGCCGATCGCACTCACGGTAAGCACATCCGATCAAACCCCAGCTAGCGCATATGAGCGTCGTGTTGAGAGTCATTCTGGGTGAGTGGAACAGGCTCTTGAAGCTGGCCGCATCGTATTGCGAAGCGCTCCGCTTCAGCTCCCTCTTCACCTCTGCTTTCCATCTCTGCAGGCGTAGTGCGAAACTTGTTGTCCGGTGCCTCACACGCATCTCTTTGTCGCGGGTAGAGGCCTGCCGAAGTGCTGCCTGATCGGTGGAGTTTGGAAAAGCAGCAGCAGTAGTGCGATGTGCTGGTGCGTCGGTACCCGCATCGGACCTGGTCTCTACGCCAATTGGGTCCTTTTCGTCTGGAGGGGAAGCGTCGACTCGATCGGCGGAAGAGGCAGTAGCGTGCTTTTCTGCATCCATTTCCGTGCCTGTGCCCGCGCTATTGAGATCCTGCTCTTCGCACCTGGCCAAACTGTCGAGTGTGAGCGAGTGAGGCCTGCCGTTGGCGTGTGCGATGAAATCCAGCACTCTGATGGCTTCTGCATCTCTTCCCTTGACGATCAGAAACTTTGGCGATTCGGGGATGGGGTAGATGAAGAAGCGCACAACCCACAGCTTTGAGTAGATGCAGAGCGAGAGTGAGCAGCAGGCAGAGCGAGCGAGCGAGCGAGCGAGCGAGTGCCTGCATTCGCTTTGATGGCGGATTCAAGATGCTCACGAGGAGAGTGACGCCTCCGACAGTGAACCAGGAGTACCTCCAGCCCATGTTCTCTGAGCGCGGACAGGGCAGCTCGGAGCATCTAAAGTTGGTGATGAAGGCCTGCAGATGTGGGGCAGAAGCGAAGCGGTGTGAGAGCACTGCAATCGACGTTGCGAGGGACGAGCGTACGCACCCAACCAATCAGGGCAGCAAAGAGCTGGCCAGCGCACCAAAAAGCGCTGAGGGCGGTGAGGATGTACTGCTTGTCGCCAGGCAGGAATTCGATGAGCATAGCGCCATCGACGGGCAAATTTCCGCCGATGCCGAAACCCGCAAGGGCGAGCAGCACGGCCAACACTGCAAAGGATGGAGCGAATCCCACGACCAACATGAACACCGAGCCTAGAAACAGCGTCGTCTGCGTAGTGGGCACGGAGGATGAGGAATGAGAACATCAGCATATGCAAGCACGCGTGTCCCTTTGCCTGCTCCTGCTCCTGCTCCTGCTCCTGCTCCTGCTCCTGCTCCTGCCACTTCCACTGCCACTGTTCACCTCACCTGCCAAGCCAATTTCCGACCGACGACATCGGAGCCAAAGCCCCAAAAGAAGGCGCCGAATAGCAGACCGACATAGAGCGCCAGCGTCAAGAACTGCACGTGGCCTGGCTGGAATTCCAACTTGACTTGAGGCAGCGACATGGACAGCGACTGAAAGATGATCTGCGTGGGACAGAAAGGGGGGGGGAGGGAGGGGGACCGCAATCGCAATGGCAATCATGAATGCGCATGCAAAGCAAGGAGATCGATCAGCATACAAGCCCGCTTCCCCTCGCTCACACCCACGCCCACACCCACCACCTCACCGCTCGCGTGGGCCCCACACCGTCGCTGGCACTCACATTGTCAACTGCCCAACCGCATCCGCTCAACAGCACCATCCACATTTGGAATCTGCCAAAACCCATCTGCGTGATATTTCTATTCACCAACAGCATCTTCCTCTGTATCACATCGTCCAAGCCCGAGTCCAATGCCAGCATGCGCTCACGCTTGTCCAACGAGGGCGGCGCTACAGTAGCTGAGTGAGAGCGCATCGACGTCTTGGAATGGCTGCGCGAAGGAAAGGGATTGGAAGGCGGGGTGCTGCTGACTGTGGTCGCTGCTGCTGCTGCTGACACGCCTAGATCCTGCTCTCGCTGCGTTGGAGACCTGCTGCTGCTACTGCCTGAGGGCGCATCGTCTGGATGTGCCGGTGTGCTCATCTCGCGGAGGAGACAGGATTTGAGGGCTGGTGGAGCGTTGTTGTTGCGACTTGTGAATGGGAATGAAGTGGATGCGCGGGGGGGCGGGGCGATGGGCGATTGGCGTGCAGGATGAAGATGCAAGCAGCACAATCGATATGGAGAATGACGAATGTGTGAGTGTGAACACGTGAATAATCAATCTCATGCGCTTGCCGATGTGATGTGCCCGCCGGTACATGTGTGCGCATTCACGATTGCGATTCACCATTTGATTCAAGATTGCCCACCGCTCCAGCGTCTTCCTGCCCTGCCATGCCCTGCCCTGCCCTGCCCTGCCCATCTCCCCGGCAAATCCCTTTCTACTCATGGCTCGCGACTGCGCAACGAGTGGAAGACTCCTCACATTACTCACAACAACTCGTGAATCGAAAATGTACGATGCGGTGCGGGCATAGCCGCATTCGCACACAACAAGTGAAGCGAAAGTCTCGCGTTGATTTGATTTTGTTTAGCTTCTTCTTGGCTCTTTCACACGTCACAGCAGCCGCCGCCCCTCTCTCTCTGCGCGTCTGACTTTGAAAGCGCTTTTGCCGAGCATGATCACGTGTCCGTACACTCACTCGTACGAGAGAGTCGCCTGTGGCAGCAATCGTGAATCTTGCATCACGTGAATGGAGACATTTTTGATCCTTGATTCAAGATTCAAGATTCGATTCTGGATTCCACATTCGTGATTCAAGATTCCAAATATTCTTGATTTGCGCAGGCGGGGGCACGCACGCACGCATCTCATCTACCAATTGGCAGGACATTCACATTCACATTCACAATCAAGAATTTGAATCATTCGCAAGCCAACTCCATCTCAAACAACCCACATTTCGCCTCTTGCTTTCCCGCTTCTTGTTCCTTCACTTTGCTCTGCCTGCGCCCAACACCACCCACCTGAGCATCCGAGGCGAGGCAGGTAGAGGCCACTCATCTCCTGCGCACATCCACACCGCGCTTGAATCACTCTGCAGCCCTTCTTTCAACATGCCGTCCCTCACCACCACAAACCCTCTGCCATCGCCCACGTCCAGCAATGCACTCCACGCCATGCAGCACAAGCGAACCAAAAGGCGCAAGGATGTCACTGCTGCTGTTGCTGCTGCTGCTGCTGCTGCTGCTCCTTCTGCAAAGTCTCAAGCGCAGCAAGCTGCAACCGCTCCTCCCGCTGCTCGCCCCCGCCCCCGCCCTCGTGCTACCAAACGCACACCGCTGTTCACACCATTTCGAGCATTGGGCTACGTCACGAACCACGTCCCATCGCACCTGCAAGTGCGCGTAGGTGGCAAAGATGCTGCATCCGCAGATGTCAACATACTCACCTGTCTAGGAGACACGTGGGCGCTGTGGGATCTCAAGCAGACCACCCTGCTCTTTGTCGCATCACCGCCCTTGCCCGTGCACATCGCCGACTTGGCCATTGCGGAGAATAACAAGCAGTTTGGAGTGTTGGCAGTCGCTGGCAACGAGATCATCGCCTACCATCGGAGCAAAGCCGTCAAATCTTTTGTGGCGCTGGACGAGACCTCTTGCGCACACACACTCCGCAGCTGCATCGTCTACGGCGACACCCTCCTCGCCCTCTCCTCCGATGGCTCGCGAGTCTTTGGCTGGAACCTGCTCCAACACCAACGCATCTCTGCCGCTGCCCTCGAACATGTCCATCATGCTTCCTTCGCCCTACCTCTGCTACCTCTGGTGGAGCCCAACACGTCGCTGAAGCTGCCATCCGACTTTGCTGCCAGCGTCATCCTTCACCCTGCCACCTACGTCGACAAAATCCTGCTCGGAAGCGCTTCTGGCGACGTGGCCCTCTACAATGTCCGCACAGGCACCCTGCTCCACATCTTTCCCAGCACGGCGCTACTACACGCAGTGGGTGGTCTGGGCGCACAAGATGCAATGCCATCCGCTCCTGCCGTCGTCGATCTGGCTCAGTCACCAGCATTGGATGTGGTCGCCGTTGCATGGTCCAATGGCCTGGTGTTGATTCACGACATCAAACACGACGAGTCCTTGATGCGCTTGTCTGTCGAGTCGACGCTGTCTCGAGGCTGCCTTGCTTTCAGGTCAGATGGCTCGCAAGGTGGGAACACGCTTGCGGTCGGAAGCGCAGCGGGTGATGTGCACCTCTTCGACTTGGCTGCAGCTCCGTCCGTCAACATCGAGCCTCTCAGCAACGGTGATGGCGAAGCTGCAAATGGTCAACCCACAGCACGGCCAGTGCCCTTGATTCACACGCTCAGGGGAGCGCATGCAAGCGCCATCTCAAGCATCCGTTTTTTGCCCGGCAACCCTTTGCTCATTACGACTGGATCTGACAATGCCATTCGTCAGTGGTTCTTTGAGCCCTTGACTGGCCCCGGCGTCGTCAAGATTCCGGGCCAAGCTGTGCCCACTTCTCCCATCCCCAGGTTGCTGAAATCCAGAGAGGGCCATTTCAAACCTCCCCACCTGATCAAATTTTACGGGGAGGAAGGCAGGGACATATTGAGCGCTGCAGAGGACAGAAGTCTTAGGCTCGTCAGCGTGGTCAGAGACTCGAGGAGTGCCGAGCTCAGTCAAGGTGCGTAAAAAAAGGGCGCCACCAGGTGTTAGCGTAGGCGATGAAGGCTTACTCTCGTCACACCAATGCATTCCTCTCAAGGTCCGCTGCTTTCGCGTGCTGCCCAGCTGTCTGTCGCGCCACATACTCTGAAGCTGTCCCGCACATCGTCGCTCGCCTTTAGCACCACGAGGGCTCGGGATTGGGACAATGTCCTCTCGGTTCACGCCGGCAGTAAAACTGCGCACCGATGGTCGACGCTGAACAGGCGCCTGAATAACCGCGCTTTCTCTTCCCAGTCGACTACAGACACGACCTGCTGTGCGGTGTCCGTGTGCGGCAACTTTGGATTCGTCGGCGATTCGAACGGCTTCGTGAGGGCATTCAACATGCAGAGCGGGGTGCTCAGGAGAAGCTACGAGGACGCTTCTCGTGCTCGCAATCACACTCGTGTCCGGCCAACGTCAAATGCGACAGAACGATCGCCGGTCACAGGCATCATCAGCGATGCGGTGAATAGCATCGTGGCAGTTGCCAAGCTGAACGGCACGCTCTCGGTAAGTGTCAAGCGGAAAGTCTTCTGCAATTTCGTTCCCCACGCTAAAGGTGCTCCTCCTGCAGATCTACGACTTTCACACCACCGAAAGACTGAGCCACCTGAACCTGGGCAGTGCCATCGCTTCGATGAAGATGGATCGTACCACGGGCCTCGTAGCCACCTCGCACGACGACTTGTCCATCAGATTGCTCGATCTTTCGACTCGCAAAGTGGTCAGACATTTTACGTCATTCAAGGGCCGCATCTTGGACATGGACATTTCCACGGACGGGAGATGGCTGATAGTCTCTAGCCTGGACGGACTGGTGCGCACTTTTGACATTCCTTCTGCTCGCTTGATAGACGCTTTCAGACCCGAAAAGGTCGTGACCAGCTTGAGTTTCAGTCCTACTGGAGAGTTCCTTGCAACTTCTCACGTCGCTCAGCTGGGCATCTATCTCTGGAGCAACAGGACTCTGTTCAGCAATGTGCCTGTAAGGGCGCTTGACGAGGAAGACGTCTGGAAGGACTTCGAAGACGACGCTGGACAAGTCGACAGTGTTGCTTTGCCGGGCATGGTTGGAGAGGAGGACACCGATGCGGCGCACGACTCGGCTCTCGACAGCTCGGAAGACGAAGACGAGGTTCGTCGCGTGTACACCAGTCCAGCCCAGATTTTTGGGGCGAATGAGGACAAGGACATGCCACTGGTCACACTCACCACCATGCCTCGCAGCAGATGGATGACGCTGCTGAATCTCGACATGATCAAAGCGCGCAATAAACCCATAGAACCACCCAAGAAGCCAGAGAAAGTTCCATTCTTCCTTCCGCAGGTGGCCGGCACAGAGATTGCCTTTGATGCAAGTGCAACACCGAGCGAAGCGAGAGAGGTGCAGAGCGCTAGAAGGCTGCCATTTGCCGACGAGCTGGCTTCCGTTGGCATCGACAACGATTTCGTGCGGCGCCTGAAGAGAGCGCGAGAAACGTCGGACTGTGAGTGAAGCACCGGCGCTTGACCATGTTGTGTTTCAAAAGACGCTTGCTGAACTTTTCAAGGGCTAATGTGCTATGCTCAACAGTCAATGCTCTGTTCTTGTACCTGCACACCCTTTCAGCTCCGGCTTTGGATTTGGAGCTGCGATCTTTAGGTGGCCCAGCCCAGCTCACGCTTTTCATCGAAGCGCTTACGGCCAGGTTGGAACAGCATCTCGACTACGAAGCTGTTCAAGCTATGCTAGCCGTGTTCTGTCGCGTGCACACGGAAGAACTCATGCAGCATGGCGTCATTGTAGACGAGAAGCTTGCAGAGCGTCGACCTCCGTCCCACTCGTCTGATAGAAGAGCAGCACAGGCGACCGAATACCTTTCACTCGACGATTCTGCCGAGGCTGCGCTGGACGAACCTGCGACGAATGTCGAACAAGGGAAAGCGCTGACTGAGGCGGTCAGGAGATTGCTGGCGACACAGCATGCTGCCAATCAGCGGGTGGTGCAATTGTTGGATTACTGCTTAGGCAGCTTGTCGTTCGTTAGAGATGTACCCCTCGTGTAGGGCCGGTCTGCAAGTCGTTTCATCCAGCCACACCCCTCATCCCCTGGTCACATTTGTATTTCCTGCTTTCGCCTTCACGACGGACAACCACATGCTAAGACAGAGCTGCTGTTCAGCCAACGGCCGAATTCCAAAGAGGCCTTCGTTGGGTGTGATGTGGTGATGCTTGTCGACGCAATTTTTGGCGTGCGCTCGACGCGTGTCCACGTGACGCGCGATTTCACGGGCGAAGCGCGCCGTGACGCGCTCCGCTCGATCGAGCCAGTCGAGTGCCCGCGCGGAAGAAAGGAATCGGATCTTGTGATTCATTCAAGATTCATGATTCACGATCGTGAATCTTTCACAGCAGCGAGGGTGTAAGCGTATCCTTCTTGCCTCACGATGCTTGATTCAGATTCGCGACTCGCGACGGCAGCATCTCCTCCCACGCGCTACGTTCGAGATTGTCGAGATTCAGATTGTCGAGAGTCTCTGTAGGCTCTGCCTCAAGTCACACCCGCTCTCTTCGATTGGCTCCGCCTCGCTTGACTCGGCCAACGTGCCACCCAGGCAGCGCTCATGACGGTGGGAATGTCAGGAGAGGCAAGGGACGATGGTCGACTGTTGGATTTGTTGGACTTGACGATTCCTCCTCTGGATGCCTCGGAGCGCATCTCATGGTATCAAGATGATCAGGCGCTCGTCTCGCTCCAAAGCGTCCAGCGATGGCTGCATCGATTCGAGAAGCAGACGGATTCCTCTCAGCCTGGACCCTCGCACCGACCATCTCAGCTTGGCATTATGGAACGTGGCAGCGTAATATTGGCAATGGCGCGATATCTGGGCCCTCGTCCTGCCGGTGCGGAGGGATGGGATACGCAAGCGTGCAGGAACGTTGCTCGAGGTGAGTATCGGTCTGTGCTTGCTCGTCATCGCATCGTCAAATGGTTTTGACGTCGTCGGATGCTTCGCGGCTGTTAGAGGTGCTGAGATGCAAGAGCCTGGCAATGTCACCGGGCGTGGGCAACGCTACTGATGAGCGCGCAGAGACGGGGCTCAGCTCTCTCGAATCCTTCACGACTCTCGTATGCCCTCGAGACGTCGTGCTGGTGCTGCTGCAAGAGCTGCCTCAACTTTTGCCCAGCCCTCGAGGCATCACTCCTGCCGGACGTGCGGCAAATATAACAAGCAATGCTCCGGTAGTAGGCTCCGACGACTTTTACGAGGAGCCACGCATCACCATCAACAATCACGCCAATCATCGAGTGCGCGGCTTGGCGCTGGGCGTGGGCGGCATCGTTTGGATCATGGCGCACGCCGTCATTGCTGCGTGCACGAGTGGCAGTGGCGCGATGGCTCAATCGCCTCGCGGGCACGCTACTGCACCTCCAGATGACTATAGCGCCACTTTCGCCCCATCCCTCCTGCCAGCTCTCTTGGCTCTCATAGGGGCACCTCAGCCCGCCAGCAGGCTATCTGGCCTACATGTCCTGCACGAGCTTCTACAATCGCTTCCAGCTGTCGTCGCCCATCTACAAAGATCCGGTCTGCTTTCGCTGGTGCAGGAGCATCTCGACAATAGCATGACCTACCTCTCCGAGCCGCTCGGCGCCGCTCTCTTGTTCAAAGCAGTGGAAGTCATGGCGATGCTGCCAGGGTGCCCAGAAAGCCAAGATTGGGCGGCAGAAGCGGCATTCGAGAGGATCCAGAGAGCTTGGGCGTACGCTCCCACCTCGTTGTCGGATCCCGATAATGCCGGAGGCGCTGGTCCCGAGCTACCACCTGGCATGCCGATGGACGGCAAAGAGCAAGCAGATGTGCTGTGCGCGACCATGGAAGCGCTTCACTTGCTTCTCGTGCCCGACAATGCTGCCCGACGCCAACATCTCGAAGTCGGATCAATCGCAAAAAGCCTTGGATCGAGCCTGGAGTTCCTGAGCGTGCAATTGTGCTTCGAACCAAGCTTTGCAGGGGCAGATGCGGGTTGCGCAAGCTTGAAGACTAGCCATCGAACTCGAACGCAATTGGCGAGAGCAACTTTCGCGGCTCGTGCTATTCGTCAGATCTATGCAAGGACCAGCCAGAGTGGCTCCGATGGGGCTGTCGCCGAAGCAAGCGGGCGACCAATTCCATCGCCACCGGGTCTGGCAGTGTGGAGCCCTCGCGTGTTGACCAGTGCAGCGCGGTGTTGGGTCTGTTTGAGCGAGCTGGGTTGGGATCGAAAGCAGTCAATAGCGAATGGCGTTGCGCTTCATGAGTCGGGCGCGGAGGTGCAACAAGTTTGCGAGCTTCGTGAAGCTCTTGCTGCACTCGTCACCCAGCTGCGAGCCTCAGAACCCGAATGGTCGAGCAGGGTGAGCACAAGCTCTGACACGAGCGCTACACACCGTTCACGAAGCGCTGACTTGCTTGGCGCGATGCTATTTGTAATCTTCAAGTGTGTGCAGAGGTTGCTTGCCATCGCACCAGAGTGTGCCAACCTCTTTGCGTAGCACCCGCAATGCGTGTTTAGTAGCGTTGAAGGCTCGCTCTCAGAAAATTGACGCAAGAAAGAACAATCCGTGTCGCCTCGCTAATGGCCAGGCGTAGAAGCTGGAGTGGATGGGTCATGCCATTCGTCGTAGTGTTCGCGTAGGGTACAGTTTAGCAAGGAGGTCGCAGTGGAAATCGGGAGACCACTTTGTGGGACGTGGACGCTTGCACAAAAATCGCTCGTACATGATGTCTGCAAGGCTCAGGTGAGCGACTAGAGGTTCTGAAAGAGGAATGATTCCCGATGTACAATAGCTGGCGAGCGTTGTGAGTCATCAAAGTGCAAAGTCGTATTCGGCAATAGCTGGGTTGTAACTTGCGGAACAATACCCACCGAATTAGCGAATGTTTCCATTGCGTGAGGCAATGCGAGTGGTGCCGCACCTTGAGGCGTCGCATGACCACTGTAGCTGACTCTTGCCCCCGTATCTGACCTGAAATTGGTTCCACGTATTTTCCATGGCTTGCGCACCTGCATTTTCACATCCAGGAAATGGATCATCTCGTGATTGAATGGCTTGTACGACGTTGACGATTTGCTTGAGACGTGTGACCCTGTTCCATTCACTACGCAAGCCATGTGTGCCAACGTTGCAGCTCGCAAAATGTACGCTCGCGCCGCCGTCTCACCTTCCTCCACTCAGCACTCACAGTCACACACGTTGCAAGCACTCTTCGACAAGGTCTTAATCACCATTGTTGCTTGCTGTCGAGAGCAAGCACCAATGCGGTATCCTTTCAAGCGCCGCCGAGACCAGGAGGCACGAGTCAAAGAGGGCCAAGTTGTACGCACGCACACCCTCTATGAGCAGTCGACGTATGCCAAAACAAGCAAAGAGAATCATCGGGCCCTGCAGATGGCAACCTGAGACCTGAATTGTAGATTGATGATCACCCAAGACAGGGGGCCATGCGCTCGATCACACATACACACACACAAACAGACAAACAAACAAACACACACAAACACACACCATTAGACTTGATGGCAAACCCAACCTCCCGTGCAACGCACGCAGGATGTTGAAGATCAGGTGACCTTGAGGGGCAATAAATGACGGGCAGAGCAAAGGGGCCTCAATGGACCAAAGAAATACAGTCCGACGCTAGCCAGCGCCAGTGCGCGCGAGGGCTAGCCAAACGAACAAGTAGCAAGACACAAGCTGCAATCATGGTTGGCCTGTGCAAGACCGGCTCTCCCCCAATTGATTCAAAAGTCATGCTTGATTGTCAAGGGTGACACAGAAGACTATTGTCTGGAGCAAAATTGGAAAAGATTCAATATCTGCGGACCGACAGCTGCCAACTCTGCCCCGGGTGGCTTGCATCACCAATTTGCTCTAGGAGCAGATCACTTGGCAGTGCGAGAGCCTTTTCTTGCAATGGGCGTCCAGAGTGGAGATTGGCAACCACAGGAGCGTTGAGCAGATGTAGTTGCAATGCTCGACAGTCATTACAAGTCCATCCAGATGGCAACTGGACGCACAAACATCATGGCACCATCTGCCAAGGAGCAATTGCACAGAATGGCAGCAAGTGCAAGTGCAGGTGCGTCCAGCATCATCTTTATGAAGGACATTACTTGTGAAGACTGTTGGGGGCATGACAACAACTTTGGTCTCTCTGGTCTGGGTTGTGGACCTGGTCCTGCCTTCTTCCAGAGGTTGCTGGCTTTGCACGACTACCATGAGGTTGCCTCTGTCATCACTGATGGTGTCCACAGAATGC